GATTTGAACTGCCAGAGGGCAGGGATGGGTGGGATATTGAGAAGGAATTCCTGGCTGGGAGGGTGCCCAGAGCAGATGTGGATCCCTGGCAGTGCCCAAGGCCAGGCTGGACAGGGCTTGGAGCCACCTGGGATGGTGGAAGATGTCCCAGCCATGGCAGGAGATGGTTTTCAAGGCCCCTTCCACCCAAACTGATTCTGTGGCAGGGCTCTGGGGTCACAGGGGCTGGGGACAAGGAACCAGCAGTGCTGCAGTTCCTGCAGAAGCAGCCACGGGGGTTTCCGCATTTCGGGGGGAAGTGGCAGGTGGGAGAAGCACTGAGGCTTGCAGAGAGCAGCTGATATATTTATATATTATTTTTCTTGTCTTGGCAAAGAGGCTGAATTCCCTTTGCAAAGGCCAGGCTGGCAGGGAGGAAGGTGCTGCAGGGGAAGAGCCCTGGAAAGAGAGGCAGGCAGAGCTCCAGAGCTGCTGGGATCAGCTCTGTCCCCTCCAGGGGGTCAGAGTGGGGACACAGACCCAGCTGTGAACCAGAGCATCAGCAAAGCCTGGCTCTGCTGGGAAGAGGGCTGGGGAGATTCCAGGAAAAGCAGAAGATGTGGTTTAAAATAATCACTATTTTAGCTCTTGAGATCCGTGGGACCGGGCTGGGTGCTGATGCCACCGCTGCTCTTTGTCCACAGGTCACTGCAGCAGTGAGGGGACAATAAAATAGATTTAAGGCTGGGGAAAAGAAAAAATTAAAAGCAGTTGCTTTGGTGATTAGGGAAGAAAAAAAAAACCAGGCTTTTTTTCCTCCCCATTATAGCAAATAAAAAGTGCGTGGAAGCTGGGCTAGGGAGGGATTATGGGGTGGAGTGCAGGATTACAGGAACACCCAGGAGAAATTAAAGAGCAGTTTGACGCCATCATCCCCACAGTCACGAGGGCTTTGGGGTTTTTTCCTTCCCCATTTTTTCCTTCTCCTTCTGGAGACAACAGAAGTGCCCTCTAACAGGAGGGGCTGGAGGGGGTGATGCCCTTGGGAAGGGCCTCATCCATGGGGGAAAGGTTGTTCAGGTGGCTGCAACACTGGGATAAAACCAGTGTCACAGCCCAGACAGGGGTGGCTGATGCCACAGAGAATTTTTGGGTCAAAACCCATTGGTTTTGGATTATGGTGACCCTGCCACGACTCCTCTCTTCCTCCACTGCTGAGCCTGAATTATGAAATAGGACTTGGAGGAGTTCAGACATACCTGGTGCCTCAGGGGATTAGGATTTAGCAGATCCTGGCTGCCTTGTGCTTTGCCCAGCAGTTGGAGCATCCCTCCCTCCCAGATCTTAAGCAGCAGAGAAATTAATTTTCCCTCTGAAGGCTGGGCTGTGGGATGAGGGTGCTCCTGCTCTAAACCCCTTTTTGTCTGTGCTGCAGGGCTTTGATGCCTGGCCCAGGGAAGGGGAGCCCCCCCCTTCCTCCCCATCTGAGGGCAGAGCAGGATTTTGAAATGACTTATCTGGTGCAGAAAGGCAGAAAATCAAGTGTAAATCTCCAGCCATGGAGAGGTTTCACTGCTGGGATGGATGGGGGCAGTGAGAGAGGGAATTGATGGTTCCTGTCCACAGTGCTTAAATCAGGGAGGTCTCGTGAAATGCAGATTTAGGGGGGGTTGATTCATTTCAGGGAGCACTTGGAGGGCCACAAAGCCTCTGGGCAGTGGGCAGGAAGGTGAGAAGCTTCTCCTCTCAGCCTCCTCCTCTTGCCCCCAGGCTGGGGGCAGTGCAGGGGGGCAGATCAGACCCCAGTGTCTAATTAGGCACCAGCTCTGGAGTGGGTTTTACTGAGCCCACGCTTTGCCAAGGGCTGTAGGAAATAGGGAGGGCTCAACATAGTTATTTTTCTCTTTGTCCTTCTTTCCTGGTGATTTGTCAGCCACACAATAGTGAGGGTCTGAGCAGCAGCACCTCACCCTGCTCTTGGTGGGAGGAGTGGGTAGCAGGGCCTCCCCTGCTCTGTTCAGGGGGATATTTGGCATTTTTGGGGATAAACAGCACACAGGGCTGGCTCATGGGCATCTGCTCCAGTGAGAGGTTTGATTGTGACACCTCCTTGGAGCTCCTCCTGTGCCTCTGAAAGCACCAGGGGCTTGAGCAGCTCTGAGGTTGGACTTGATGACCTTGGAGGTCTTTTCCACCCTTAATGATTCTCTAACCCTTCCTCCTCAGTGTTGGCTGGGAGTGAGAAGCTGTTCAGCTCAGCAGTGAATTTCCTGCACTCAGGAACCATGGATGGCTGCTTTTTAGTTTTGTGTGTGCTCAGTATTCCCTAAATATTGGGAATGGTGGGAACATCAAGGGCACCAGGTGCTCTGTTGGGGTTTGGGTTGGGAAAGCAGGAGATGGAGAGGCTTAGAGGATGCTGCAGGTGTGGGAGGTCTGTGTCCTCCTGGTTGAGAGGTGATGGTGCTGGAAAGGAGATGGATTTGTGCTTCCAGGGATGGGACTGCAGGATGTGATAAGGGAAGAGCTGGAACCCAGTGCTAACAAAAGCACCCTGGCTCTGGAAATGGGATTTCAGGGTGCCTGAGCTGGGATCCCCTCAGCAGCTGGGCTCAGGCACAGCTGGTTTGGAAGTTGGAGCAAACTTTGTTCTCCTCAAGCTGTGGAGGGTCACTTTTCCCTCCCGGGGATCTTCTTGAGCTTCACAGTATTTTAATTACAAAAGGCAAACAAGCTCACCCGTGGTGCTCAGAGCACAGAGAAGAGAGGAATCAGCTGCCAGCCTGTGAATGCTGAAAGCACAGCAGTGGGGAGATGCTCCTGGTGTCCCCTTTGCTGTGCTTGCAGGGGGCACTTGTGATGGCACTTGTGTTTCTGAGAGCCACAGAGCAGCTTGGCTTGGAAAGGACATTGAAAATCATCATTCCAGTGCAGGAACACCTTCCACTACACCCTGAATTTCCAGCTGCAGCAGTGGGGAAACAGGATTCTTCAGGGAATCCAGAAGGAAATTCAGCTGTAGCTTCACTATTGCTAAATTCCAGCTTCTTCCCCCTCCTCCATCTCTCCAAAGACAGACAGAGGTACGGCTCTGTCTTAGGAATAATAAAAATGATTTCTGAAGAAAAACAAAGCCCCCAGCCCTCTCTTGTGTGGGAGGGAGAAAATAACAGGGTGAATGAGTAGCCACGAATATTAGCATTTCAGAGAGAGCTGCTGGATGGAGATTGTTCACCACCGGGCGGGCTTTAATAGGAGTGATAAGGTTTGCTTTTGTTCTGGGGCTCTTCCTTAATCAGCCTGGCTCCTCCTGATTTTTCTATCGGTGCACTCCATCGCCCAACTTTCATGTGCTGAGTCCCAGCTGCAGCAAATCTTGTTAAAATGCCCTTGTTCAAACACGGGCGCCGGGTTTGTTCCCTAGAGCTGCGCCGAGGCTGGATGGAGAGCGGGGCTGCAGGAATCAAAGCACTCCTCAGCCTGTGTATTTTATAATTCATTGCATAGCTAAGTTGTGGAATTTTTTTTTTTTTCCCTCTCTAACAAGCTTGAAGCCTTTTCTTCCATATCTAAAGGAATATTATCCGAGGAGGCATTTGGGTGAGGGGGTTTGGAGACCCGCTGCTTTCTGTGTATCCTTTGTCAGTGGTGGAACAGCTTCCCTGTGCCTTATTAGTATTGCACTCTTGCATTTCTTTTATATCAGAGCCCTCTGCAAATAAAATTTTCAAAAGCTGCTGCTCTCGCCACCGCGAGTGGCGGAAAATAAAAGATGATGGAGTCCTGGGGGGTTTCAGCAGTCAGGTTAGCAAACACTGAAACAAAGCGTGGCACGGAGCCTTCCCCTAATTGAATCCCTGGTTAATTTGGTCCTGGTTTTAATTTGCCCCCTGCTCCAGACATCGGAGGATTCTCACTGAAAACAGCCCAAAACGTGCTGATTTATTTTTTTTTTGTTTTGATCCTCGGCTGCGAGTGCTCCCGGATAATTCAGTCCCCAAAGGCAGGAGCTGGCTGGGGGAAGCTGGAGCCGGGGAATGTGGAGCCCCTGTAATTAGATGATGACTCCAAAGGGTTATTTAGATCTTGCAGTTGGCTTTGGCTGCTCAGCACAGGCTGGGACCTGCCCCACCATCAGCTGCTCCTGTCGGCCCCCAGAGACTCCAAACTTGCCCAGTTTTTTTCTGCTCTGCCGCTCGTTTGGGCATTTTTAATGGAGCTGAAATTCAAACCCACGGAAAGCAGCGGCGGCCGCCCAGGTGTCTGCAGGATCTGGAGACTTGAGCTGCCTCAGTGCAACTCTGTCCCTAATTAAACCTGCCTGGGGCTGCTAATGGAGATGAGTGCGAGGAGGAGAGGCCTGATGGACTTTCCATCCAAGGCTCCTGGCAAGGTGGAGGGGTTATTCCCCCCCCAGTCCTGTTAACTTGATCTGGGAATTGGGGAAAGGTGAGGAAGAGGAAGATTCTACTTCGTTGCAGCTTTTTTTGGCAGGGAGCAGCAGCAATTCTAACCATCAGACCCAAAGCCTGGGTGAGGGCAGTGTTGATCCAGGCATGGAGCTGCCACTGGCGTTTGCCCACCAGGAACGGTGGCGGCAACTGGATGCTCAAAATTCTGCTGAACGAACAAACCAGCCCAGAGGCAGCCCAGAAATCACTTTCCTGATGTGTTTTGTGCTTGGATTCCCCAGATTCCTCCCCAGAAGCACAGCCCAAGTACATCAAAGGTGGCAAACGCTACGGGCGCCGCTCCCTGCCGGAGTTCCAGGAGTCAGTGGAGGACTTTGCCGAGGTGACAGTCATCGAGCCCCTGAGTGAGGAGGCACATCCTGCACACATTGCTGCCAGCCAGGAGGTCAGCAGGGAGGGCTGGGGGCTGGGCTGGCCTTGGCACCTCTGGGCATCACCTCTGGGCATCGTTGCTCCTCATATCCAGAGGGGTTGGGATGTGCTTGGAGCATTCCCAGTAAAGGCATCGGCTGCTCTCCTTGCCTGTCCTTAGGATGGGTGTTGGGGTGGCCTTGTCACCTGTGGACGTGGCTGCTGCCCACATCCAAAGGGGGTTGGGATATCCTAATGCCTGTAGTGGCCATTCTCCTGGGGATCAGCCATGCCAGGCGTGGCTCCCTTGCTCCATGTGCCGTGGGAAGCGGGGAAGGAGCTGGGGTGATGTGCTCCTGGCACTGCTGGCTCCTGGCTGGAGTGTGGGCCAGCAATTAAGCAAGGGCTGAGCTGCCTCAGCTAACGAGGTGTGGGCTGGGAGCAGAAGGAGCACGTCCACATCCATTAGTGCAGCTGCCAAAATCCGCCCGTGGCTCCAGCAGAAGGGATGGTGAACAGCAGAGCCCCACAGCCAGCAGCTGCTTTGGGACAGTGGCATCCAATTGCTCCAAAAAAATCCCCATTCCTGGTTTTGTGCTCCAGATTTGTGGCTCTCTTTCAATCCCAGAATCTCCTTTTGCTTCCCCAGACAGGAAAGCCAAAGGAGCCGAGTGGTTGGAATTGGTGCTGTGTGACAGCATTTCCCTGGAGCTGGGCTGCTTCCAGCCTGCCCTGCTGTGCCAAGTATTGTTGATTCAGGAGCATTTTCCCAGTGGAAAAACTCCCTCCCCTGTCTTGTGGCTTCACTTGGAGCCTGTGCAGCTGCTGTTGTAGGGGGACACCCAACCCTGTGTGAGATAGCAAGGAAGGAGTTCCCAATTCCCATGGTTTCAGTGTTATTCCTGTGCAGCTGATCTTAAAAATGATAACAAAACCCCAGAGCAGCACCTCAAAGCAAAGCTTTTCCACCACTCCCAGCTGCTTTTCCCTGCTCCTGGTGACCTTTGCTCACACCCCAGGGATGCTCATCCATCTCCTGGTGTTGGCCACATGGGCTGCCCTGACCTTGGAATCGATGTTAATCCGCCCACACTCCCCAGGGAAGTGATGTCCTTGGTGGAAGAGGCTACTCTGATCTTACCCCTTGGTTTTGGCTGTCACAGAGGTGTAAAAGGGTAGTCCATTAACAAGGTCACTTAATTAACCCAGCTGTGCCGTGGGGGCTGGCTCAGTCTCCTGCTGGGAACGCTTGTTGCACCTTTTGGGCTGGTGAGATGGTTAATTCCTTTGCAAGTGGGGCAAAAAACAGGTTGAACTTTTGAAATCCCTACTTTTATCAGCATTGCTGTCTCCAAAGCAGATCCTCTTGGTATGCATGGAAATGACTTGCTGGAAGGTGTTGAGGGGTCCCAGGGGGGTGTTGGAGGCTCCTGGTGCATTAATTCCTTGGGATTTGGCCCAGGGAGCAGCTTTTGCCCTGTTCTCTGCTGTTGTGTGTTCAAACACGCTGCAAGCCTGTCCCTGGCCTGAGAACTGGGGCAGGATGGCTTAATTGGTGCTTGCTCCCAAGCAGTGCCAATTAAAAGGGCTCAGGCAGTGTCTGAGAGGTTTCCTTCCCTCCCTCCCTGCCCTGGTAAACACGAGGGGAAAAGGCTGGAAGGCTGCCCAGGGAGGCTCCCTGACCTCCATCCCCAGGGGGTTTTTCAGGTGCTGTTGGATTAGGGAATGAGCAGCTGGATTTGGCATTAACCCTGCTGTGAGTGGGGGGGTGCTGGTGGCATCCTGAGGGTCCCTCTGTCCTTGTGGATGTGGCTGTGCTGACTTCCAAACCTCCCTGAGCATCCATCCACCACCTCCCCTCCCCAGCTGCTGGCTCTGCTCTGGGACAGGTCCCTCCTACTTGCAGGTTCATGGAATCCCAGGATGGTTTGAGTTGGAAAGGACCCTAAAGCCCATCTCATTCCAACCTTCTACCATGGGCAGGGACAATTTCCACTCGTCCAGGTTGCTCCAAGCCCTGACTTTGAGGATTTTGAATCTGCTGGCACATCCCAGTTCTGTCCCTTCAGTGCCACTTGCTCCCATGCTCTGTGTGTTTCTGAATTGTTTCCAGCACGTCCTGGCATTGAAGCAGAACATTCCAGGAGTTGAAACTCCTGCTTTTGTGTCCTCAGGGTGAGACTCCCAAAGTGGGCCTGTCCTGGAAATCCAGGATTTGTGATTCCCAGCTCAGGATAGTGCCTGCTCCCAGAAAAAGTGCTTTACTGCTGTGGCTGGTGCTTTGGAGCGAAGTGTGGGGATTTGACAGCTTTTTTTGGGGCTGCTCAGCCCAGGGAGCTGCTGTGTGGCTCTGGGAAGAACAAAATCCATCAGCAGCGGGGCTCGGGCTCACCTCGTGGCATGCGCTGCTGATCATCATGTTAATTAGCAATATATTCCGGGGGAGAACAAAGGTCTGGCTGGCTGGAGCAGATGGCAGGGGGGATAGAGAGGTGGCTGAAGCCCCATCCCGGGCCCAGCACCCGGCACAGGCTGCAGATGCTGTGCAGCATTCAGAGTTTGGAGCCATCTGCTCCCCGCACGCGCCCGGCCGGGATAACGCATTCCTGGCATCTGACCCGGGGCCAGCTGGAGCCCTGCCGGGGCTAGGGGACAATGAGTGCTGACATGGGGTGTCCCACCCTCCCCAGCCCCTCTTTGTCCCCTCCCAGAGGTGGCTGACCCCCAGCCCCAGCGCACAAAGGGACCCCGGAGGGAGGGGAGGCCACACGAGTGCCCCGGGGTCGTTTCAGGGGGTGCCAACCCAAAGCCCCCCGGCTTTGTTCGGCCTCTGTGGGTTGTTGGTTGTGGTTTTGTAGAATCCCAGAGTGGAGCTTAAAGCTCATCCCATCCCCTGCCATGGCAGGGACAACTTCCAGCATCCCAGGCTGCTCCAAGCCCTGTCCAGCCTGGCTTTGAACACTTGCAGGGATGGGATAGCAGCAGCTTTGTGGTTTTGCTGGAGATGGTTGAATTGTGGGGTGTCTGGTGCTCAATTAATCTGATTCTGTGTAAAAGTGTGCATGTTGCTTATGCAGAAAGACTTGGACACGGAGGATCTGCCTTCTGAGCGTCGCTGCCAGGCTCCCCTCAGTGTCCCAGCTGTCCCCAGGATGAGGATGGGTGGCTGCAGGGTGACAGCTCTGGCACCCAAGCCAGCCCTCTCTCTGTGCAAAGTTTTCTGCATTTTCAGATGGCAGTTTATCACAGAGTCCCAGAATGGGTTGGGTTGGAGGAAACTTAAAGCCCATCCAGTTCCACCCCCCTCCATGGGCAGGGACACCTTCCACCATCCCAGGCTGCTCCAAGCCCTGTCCAGCCTGGCCTTGGGCACTTCCAGGGATCCAGGGACAGCCACAGCTTCTCTGGGCACCCTGTGCCAGGGCTCTGCTGTTCTCTTTGTAAAAAACTTCCAGGGATGGGATTTAATGATTTAAAATGGCACTTGTTGCCTCAGCTCCAGCTTTTTGTCCCTGGTGGGACACTGGGATGCTGAGGCAGCGAAGGGCCCTTGCCTGGTCCTGCAGCTGAAACGGGAACAGCAGCAGAGCTAAAAACAGTCCAGTGACTTAATTCAGTTTCCATGGCAACGTTGTAGATTAATGGCTTTTAGCTGTAATCTGAATGAGAAGCCCTGAACTTTTCTGTGATGATTTAGAGCCTCTTTGTGTCCCGGGTGACTTTGACTCCAAATCCATCAGTCACGTGCGGGCAGAACTATCCACTTGTACCACTGCAGGAGCAACATCTGCCACTGCTAAACCAGAAATTATAAATACCCTGGGCTGCTACAAGGGTGGCAGGGATGAGCCAACGTGTAGTACATGAGGAAATCACCTTAAATGCTGTACTTTTGCTCCTGGTGCTGCCTGAGCTGATGGGATGATGCCAGAGGGAGCAGGATGGTTTAAGACCACCAGAGAGTGGGTGTTTTTCCCCTTTGTTAAGCTCAGTGAGAGGCTTGTTGACAGCAAAGCTCTCTCCTGATACAGGGCTGCATTTAGTGCAGGAGGTTTGAATTTGGCTTGGCTGAGCGTGGGGGAAAATAAAGTGCTGGAAGAAAAGGATAACCTCAACCATCAATCCCTCAAAGAAAAGCAGCGTGGTTTGCTCAGAGGGCACACCTCTCCCTGGCTCCCCACACCCTGCCAGGCTCTGATCTGTCCCCTCTGCTGGCTCCTTGGTGGGCTTGGGGCATCTCTGTGGGCTCTCCACACGTGCCAGGACAAGGCAGGATCAAAGAGCCCTGGATTGCCAGGGAGATGAAAGCCTGGCAGCACTGCTGGAGCCCTGCAGCTCCTTGGATGCTGATCTTTCATTCAGGGGATGTCCTGCAAGCAATAACTGGAAAACCTTTTGTTTTCTCCCCAGCACTGGAAGACGCGCGGCAGCGAGGAGGAGTACGAGGCGGAGGGTAAGAGCAGAGAGCAGCACCTGGCTGTGCTGATTCTCACTGCAGCTTTCAAGAGGGATCAGAGCAGCATGTGGAGAGGGGCTCTGGGTGTGTGGAGCATCCCAGCCTGGCTGGGGCAGAGCTCAGGGAGGTGCAGCTGGGGATGAAACTAAGGCAGGGCACATTTTGTGCCATATTCCCTCTGCCCTCCTCGTCCTGCTGTGGGTGTTCCTGGTCTCCCTGACCTCTGTCCTGGTCCCCACTCCTGCCCCGGGGGGCTCTGGCTGTAGTGGAGTGTGGTGGGCACTAGATGTCAGCAGGGACCAGTCATTAAATGTTCCTTAATTGTCACAGAATTATAAAATGGAATGGTTTGGAAGGGACCTTAAAGCAATTCCACCCCCTGCCATGGGCAGGGACACCTTCCACTATCCCAGGTTATCCAAGTCCTGCTCAACCAGGCCTGGGACACTTCCAGGGATGGGAAATTTCCCTGAGCAGCCTGTGCCAGTGTTTTACTATCTTCATCACCAAAATCTTCCTTTTAATTACATCTTTCTCTTCCATATTTCAGCCGCTCTCTAACCCCATCCAAAGAGGTCACCTTTTTTCTCCTAAATCTGCTTTTCCAGCCCCAGGAGGTGGCCTTGCAGCTCCCTTGATCCCATAGCAGCCCAGGCAAGGGAGGGATCCCTTTCCCATCTGTTCCAGCAGCTGAGGAAGCTGTGCTGCTCTTCCCCTGCTGGCCATCAGACTCATCCACATTCCCAAAGATCCTCCTGGCCACAATCCAGCTGCTGGTCAGTCTGCAGCTGGTCAGGCACTGGGAGTCCCCATCCCTGGGGGGATGAAAAGCTGTGTGCACGTGGCACCTGGGGACACGAGTCAGTGGTGGCCTTGGCCTCTAAGGTCATTGAGTCTAACTGTTCCAGCTGGCCAGGGAACAGTTGGACTCGATGGTCTTGGAGGTTTTTTTCCCAACCTCAGCAATTCCATGGTTCTGTGGACACGAGGCTACTTCCCCTGGTGGGGAAGAACCTTCTTCCAGAGCCTGATACTGCTGGGACCAGTGTCCACATCCTAAAATCCAGAGTGGGATGAACCCAGACAAATGATCCCTTGGGTTCTGCAGAGCAGCAGCAGGTCCCCTGTGGGGTGCAGAACCCCCGGATCTTCTGGTCCTGCTGCAGCCACCGGAGCAATGTCCCCCATTCCAGGGCAGCTGCGCTTCTGGAACCCGGACGACCTGAACGCCTCCCCCGGCGCCTCCCCCAGCCCAGACTGGATCGAGGAGAAGCTTCAGGAGGTCTGTGAGCACCTGGGCATCACCAGGGATGGCCACCTGAACAGGAAGAAGCTGGTTTCCATCTGTGAGCAGTACGGGCTGCACACGGCGGCTGGGGAGGTGAGCGACCACGGGGGGACCCGTCCCACCACTGCCCCTGGCTGGGCTTTAGTGTGGGCCCCCGAAATCCCTCCTGGGATTCACCACAAGCACAAGTGGCTGCTTGGAAAGGGGTTTCCAGCTCCAGCTGTTGGTTTTCCAGCGAGGTTTTTGGTCCCAAACCATCAGGCTGCTCTAGGAGAAGGCAGCTGCCGGCCTGAGCCGTGGTGTGCGTGTCTCCTCACGCAGCCACAGAGGGATGTGGAATGTAAAAGCATGGCTTGGATTCCAAGCATGTCTCCTTAATCCTAGGAACTTTCTAGCTAGACAGTAAATATAGGTAAAATATTCATAGGTGGTTACTTTTGACTTTGTGAAGGCCTGTGGGTGTTTCTGTCCTGCAGCAAGAGCCCACGAGAAAATGAAATCTTTAATGACAAAAAAAGGCTCTTGTCAAATTAGGATTTAGTTTTATTAAAAAAGTCAGATTTTTTGCATCTTAAGATAACATGGCTTGTATTAATTTCCTCCATAAAACAAGTTCCTGAGCAGGTATTCCTTTGCAGCATTCCCAGTGAAATGTTTTCAGGGTTTTAAGGCAATGGAAAAGATAAACTGTAGACAAAGAAATAGTGAGGGACTAATCTGCACATCTCCAGTCCTACTTTCGAGAAAACAGCATGCCTGAAGCATCAAACAGATTTATGATAACCTTGCACTGTCTTAGGGTTTGTTTTTTTTTTTTTGCCTGGTCACTTCAAGCTGCTCAGGGTTTGGCATCTGTCTCAGTACCTCAAGCTGAATTCCTGAGGTCACGCTGTCTCAGGAGCAGAATTAAATGAGATTTTTTTTTTTCCTGCTGCTTCATTAAACAGCAGCTCCAAAATGACCAGGAGCTTTTTTATAATGGTGTATTGTTCCTGCAGTTTTCCACATGGAGAATATGGAAATGTGTCAGGCTGATGTAGCAGGTAGCTCTTTGCTCTTTTTGGAGCCTTGGGAATAGGATGTTTGCTCTGTGCCAGATTTTTTTGGCCTTTTATGTGATTTCTGTCTCCTTGCAGGTGCTTGAAGAGGTGCTCCATAACCTGGGACAAGATGGGACCATGAGCATAGAGGACTTCTTTTATGGCCTGTTTAGAAATGGGAAATCTCTCACACCTTCAGCATCTACTCCATACCGGCAGCTGAAACGACACCTCTCCATGCAGGTGAGAAAGTGAGAGGTGAATCCTGGGGTAAAAGGAGCAGGAGAATTCCTGAACAATTCCTACCCAGCCTGTCTCCTCCTCTTCCTCAGTGTCTGTCCCTGCAGGGGCAGCTTGAGGCAGGAGGTGGTGGCAGTGAGCTGCTGCATACCCTGCTCCAAAATTTCAAATTCTTGCTCCAAAAAAGCTCTGTTGGAGGAGATAAAACAGAGAACACGCTCATGGGAAAGGGGACATGGCCCCCTTCAAAGTTGTGGGGCTTGGAGAGGGCTCTGGCAACCTGTGGAGTGCAGTGTGTAAATTGTAGAGCCTTGTAGAATTCCAAGGTGGTTTGTTTTGGAAGGGACCTTAAAGCTCATTTCAGCCCCCCTGCCATGGGCAAGGGCACCTTCCACTATCCCAGGGTGCTCCAAGGTCTGTCCAGCCTGGCCTGGAGCACTTCCAGGATGGGGCATTCAGTATAAACTGGGTGCAGGGGGATGCACTGCCTGGGATAGGCTGGGGACATGCAGGTCCCACATCTCTACTCCAACTTTTAGCTTTTTTCTGAGAAAGTTTGAAATCTGCTCCCTGGCTTTGCCTGGAGGCTGAGGACTCTACCCAAACCACTCTACAAGTGCTCCCTGCAGCTGTTTTAGGGAAAGTGACGTTCCAAACCCAAAAATGAACAGTGGAAAACCCTTCTGGAGCAATGAAAAACTGCTCCTCGTGGGATTTATTTTAAATCCCGAGCGCCTGCTTGTGCCCCGGTGAGGTCAGCGGCGACGCTCCTGCCGGGTTTTGCTTGGCAGCGAGGAAAGACAGAGCTTAATCCTTAATCTCTGGAGCAATGCTAGGGAAATTCTGCTGCTAAACCCCTGTGGGCACTGCCTTTGCCCTCATCCTCCTCATCCTCTCTCCCAGTCCTTCGACGAGAGCGGCAGACGCACAACCACCCCCTCGGCCATGCCCAGCACCGTCGGCTTCTCCCTCTTCTCCAGCCTGGATGATGGCATGGGCTACGGCTGCGTGGAGGGGGTCCTGGACTGCTGGCACCAGGAGGGCATAGAGAACAGCCAGGAGATCCTGAAGGTAACCCCCAGCTGCATCTCACCCTCAGTTATGGGGATTTTTTTCTCCCTGTGTTGGACGCTGAGTTTTTGATGGGTTTTTTTTGTCCCTGGTTTCTCCCCTTTTAAAACTTCCCACAGAGAAGCTGTGGCTTGTCCATCCCTGGAAGTGTTCAAGGCCAAGTTGGACAGGGCTTGGAGCAACCTGGACTAGTGGAAGGTGTCTCTGCACATGGCAGGGAGTGGAACTGGATGATCATTAAGATCTGTTCCAGCCCAAACCATTCTATAATTCTATAAAAATTCCCAGTGCTAGTGACAAGAGTTCTGGGAAATTTCCAATCATTTCCTTTATGGTGCATCCCAGAGAACAAGCAGCTAATGATAAAAATACACTCTGATTTCCAGCACAGCTTGAAGAGGTCACCTATATTTGTTAGGAAGCAATTTAATTCCTTTTCCTCTCTAAATAGCTGCACCTGCAAACCTCTCAGCACTGGGGTGACCTGAATTATTGCTTGTGCTGAGGTGGAGGACAGCACTTGAAACCCTGCCCAGTCCTCAGTGTTCCATTAGACAGAGTAAAAGGGCGATGGGGATGAAATCAGGTACCTGAATAAATCCATCCCTGTCCATCTCGTTAGGAGCTGTGGGTGGGAGAAGATAATTTCATGTGACCATCACTGGATTCCCAACAATTCCCAACAATAATGAGTGTGATTCTCCTGGCTTTTAAATATCCATGTGGGTAGAGAACAGCCAGGCTGGAGTAACCTCTGCCATGGCTCAGGATTTACAACCCACCCATCACCTCACACTGGTTGAGAAGGTGGCACCACCTTCACCAGATTTGTGTGTCCACCTTCACTTTGTTGCTTTCCACTGGGAAATTGCTCTGTGCTGGTGTCACTGGGGTGGTTTCTCCAGTGTCTGCAGTGTTTCAGCCCCACCACAAGTGCTTTGCTTTGTGTTCCTGCAGGGTTAGGTTGGAAAAGTCCAGCTGCCAACTTAGCCCTTGTTCACCACTAAACCCTACCCACATCCATATGGGTTTTGAACACTTCCAGGGAAAGAAAAGGCCTTTCTTCAATGCTTGGAGCAGCCTGGGATAGTGGAAGATGTCCCTGCCCATGGCAGGTGGTGGGACTGGATGACCTTTAATGTCTCTTCCAACCCAAACCACTCTGGGATTTTACAAAATTCCAAGCAGCTGCTGATGATAACTTGTTTTCTAAGAGTTGAGATCCTCACCCTCAAACCCTTCCTGCAGGGCTGTTTCTGTGTTGCAAGATCTGCTTTTGTTTGACACACACATCCCCAACCACCTCCTCGCAGCAGCTGATCCGTGCAAAGCCAGGTCTTGTTAGATCCTGCAGGGAATTAGTGCAATTCATCAGTCCTGGGCTTCATTTCCTGCTGGTCTTGCAGCACAAGCAGGACACTTCCCATCTCCCCAGCAGCTCTGTTGTAGGGAGGTGGCAGAGATGTCTGGTTTATTGCCCTCGGGGCATCAGTGACAGATTAATTAGCCAGCAAAGATCTCTTCTGAGCCTGCTCGTTCTGGCCTGTCAATCCCTGCACAAATGGCTCCAGGCTCCTGCAGGAAGCTCACCCTGCTCCAAGGCCTCGTTGTTTCCACAGGCTCTGGATTTCAGCTTGGATGGGAAGGTGAACCTGACGGAGCTGACGCTGGCGCTGGAGAACGAGCTCCTCATCACCAAGAACGGGGTCCACCAGGCAGCCCTGGCCAGCTTCAAAGCAGAGATCAGGCACTTGATGTGAGTCTCAGGGATGGCTGGATGTGGATGTGCTGCTTCCTGCTTTGCTTGGCCAAGCAGGGGCTGAGGGAGCAGCTGAGGGGCACTGGGTGGCACTGGAAGGCTCAGTTCTCTGTTGGGAGTGCTCAGAAACTTCCAGCTGTCTTCTTTTGCCTGGGAAAAACATTCAAACCTCCATGGATTGCAGAAAAATGTAGCTGAAAAATAAAAAAGGGAAGCAGCAGGCTGTTGCCAGTCTGGGAGTGGTCACTGCTGTCCACAGGGGTCATTGATGGCCAAGGAAGGCTCAGCTCAGGGCAGAAGCTGGTGGAGCTTCAGTACCTTCAGTCAAAACTGATCTGGGGCATTGCAGAGGTTCTGCCATGTGGTAAATGTGGAGGTGAGGTACAAACCCACTGTAAATCCTCCTGGTTTTCCTTTGAAAGTCAACACAGTTTGACTTTGTGCAGGTTTCTCTATTGAAAAAGGAGGCTCCAGGGAGAGCTCAGAGCCCCTTCCAGTGCCTGAAAGGGCTCCAGGAGAGCTGGAGAAGGACTGGGGACAAGGGATGGAGTGACAGGACACAGGGAATGGCTCCCACTGCCAGAGGGCAGGGATGGATGGGAGATTGGGAAGGAGTTCCTGGCTGGGAGAGTGGGGAAGCCCTGGCACAGGTTGCTCTGAGCATCTGTGGCTGCCCCTGGATCCCTGGCAGTGCCCAGGGCCAGGTTGGACAGGGCTTGGAGCAGCCTGGGACAGTGGAAGGTGTCCCTGCCATGGCAGAGTCTGAAATAAGAGGGTTTTGAAGGTCCCTTCCAACCCAAACCATTTCAGGATTTGAACCACAGCTGAGGATCTCAAGTGTTGAGGTCTCAGGATCTGTGGGGACACCAAGGCACGTCCAGAGCTGTTTTGGTACAGGTTCAAATCCAGTGACTAAGTCCAGTTGATGAGACCCTTGGAGATCTTTCTAAGCTTCTTCTCTGACATTTCAAATCCCCTTTTTGGGGGAGCAGTGAGGGCTGACCCCTAATCCAGGCTGGCTCTGCTCTGCTCTGCCCAGGGAGAGGTTTGACCAGGTGGCCAGGGAGAAGGAGAAGCTGCGCTCAGACCTGGAAAAGGCGGAGAAGCTGAAATCCCTGATGGCCTCGGAAGTGGACGATCACCACGCCGCCATCGAGCGCCGCAATGAGTACAACCTCAGGTGGGCATCTGGGCCACCCATCCCTCCTCCTGGGACGTGGTGACCACCCAGCTTCACCCCAGCAGTGCTTGCTGTGGGAATCCAGAGCTTCCCTCTGGCTGCCCTGGCTGCCCTGGGACCCTGGCAGGGGTCAGGAACCCCCCTGGACAGAGCCCCCAGAGACACTGTCTGTGATCTCTGCCCATGGAAAAGAGTTTTCAATCTTACAGGATGAATTACAACCTCTGAGTGTTTGATATCAGTAATAATTAAGTGTGGCACGGGGGCAAAAGTAAAATTTTAAGTTTCTAGATTAGGGGTTCAAAGGGGACAAGATGGAGGAAATTGGGTGTGCCTTGTCCTTTTTCTCCTTCTTCATGCCCTACATGTTTCACTGTTGGCATTTTTCTGTTGGTTCAGGCTGGGGACACACTGTCCAACGTAGGTGACAGATATTGGCACGTTATTGTAAATCCAGCACAGGTAGTTTGTGGTATTTAATGTTTGTACCATCCCACTGAGGGCAGAGCCCCACACGCTGCCCTGCAGGACAGAGCTGCGGCAGGGCAGCAGAACATGTTAGAGATAAACAGAATAAACAACCTTGAAACAGCACAGACCAATTATGGCTTCTGCTTTGGCAGCAGGGCTGACAGACAGAGACTTTTACAATCTGGGAATCATCAATACCTCAGATTCCAACAGTTTGTCAGCCTGTTCCTCTAACAAACCCCTGTCCCCTGCAGGAAGCTGGATGAGGAGTACAAGGAGCGAGTCGGTGCCCTGAAGAATGAGCTGCGCAGAGAGCGGGAGCAGATCCTGCAGCAGGCCAACAAACAGAGGCTGGAGCTGGAGCAGGAGATTGAAAAGCTGAAAACAGATGAGAACTACATCAGAGACCGCTTGGCCCTGGCCCTGAAGGTAACAGGGACTAAGCGTAGGCAGGATTTCCCCCAAAAAGCCAGGAATACTCTGGGAAGGGGAGTGACTCTGCAGTCCGTGTTGAAAGGATGAGTTCTGGGCTATGTTGAGTTATGACTTAGCCAAAAGTCATTGAAGCAGCAAGATAGAGAGGGGTGTCCATGGGAATTGGTGTTTGGGGCACCTCGATGGGTTGTTCATGGATTCCTAAGCTCCAGTTCAAATCTCTGCTGCCATCACATGCAGAGTGTGTGTGTGTGTGCACAGCTCTCAGATGAACTGTCAAGCCAGGGGATAAAACATCTTGATCGAGTTTAAAATCCTCTTTTAAAAACAAACAGACCATCCAAAGCAAACTTGCTGTTAAGCCTTTTGATAATTTATCAAAATCCAGTGTTCACTCTTGCTGTGGCAGGAGTGGGTTGTGTGTGAATGGATTCATAATTCCTGTCATCAGCTGAAGCTTGGAATATGTCATGCTTTGGCTTGATTGGGAGTTACCTGTATTTTGATGAGTTAACACCTGATTTTTTCCTCTTCCAAGTGCTGATCTGCTGTGGGTTTTTTGTTTGGTCCAGGAAAACAGCCGCCTGGAAAACGAGCTCTTGGAAACAGGAGAAAAACTGGCTGAGTGTGAAAGTCTGGCAAGCAAACTGCAGAGGAACCTGGAAAATGTCCTGGCTGAGAAGGTAAATCCCCCTTTTCCCAGTGGGGTTTCAGAATTAAATCACTTCTGAGTTGCTACATTCTAGCTGCCAGTTTAACTGATAGCCAGAGGCTCTTGGGGTCTCTATCCAGATTATCCAGGCACAGCCTGCCTTGGTGACTGACTCCCAGCTAAGGAAAATACAGATATTCCACCTTAACTGTAATTTTATTCTAATTAAAGCAGGGAGCCTTACAATGAAGCAATCATCCTGCAGATCTCCAGGGATTTTTTTTTTTTGGATGGGCCCAAATTGCAGGTCCTTTCCAGGGAAAAGATGATGCAGGGGGAGTGAGGTTTTACATGGCATCACTGATGGAAATAGGTGAAAATTGAGGTGAACAGCTGTTAATGGCTGTATTACATTTAAACTTTCAGAATATCAGCTTCTCCAAAGATGTTTAAGTCAGTGCAGCCATAGCCTAAGGTTCAAATATTGGGATTTCCAGCCTTCTTTAAAGCTTGGCATTATTTACCACACTGAGATGTGCATATGCTAAGGTAGAAAGCTGTGATCTGGAATCAAAATGAGCATGAGAGCTGTGCTAGATGGCAGACAGGTTTTTTGGGGAAGTTACTCATTCCCTGCTAGGAGGAAAGCGGACTTTCTTTATTTAAAATAAAAATCCAGAGTGGAGAGAGGGGAGTGCAGGCTGCAGGACTGCTTGGAATGGCACCCATGCTGTCCTGAGCAGGGCTGCAGGGTGGGTGGATAACTGGACATTCCCTTCCTGTGTTCCAGTTTGGTGACCTGGATCCCACCAGTGCAGAGTTTTTCCTGCAGGAGGAGAGGCTGGCCCAGATGAGGAGCGAGTACGAGCAGCAGTGCAGGGTAAGTGGGGCTGAGACCTGGCTCCTGTGTCCACCAGGAACATCACAGAACCGTTTAGGTTGGAAAATCCCTCTGAGATTGAATCCAGCCATTCCCCCTGCACCAAGCATGCCCCAAGTGCCACATCCTCACTGCCAGCAGCAGCACAAGGCAGGCTGGAAAGCTTTTCCCACAGAATTCTGGCTGAGCTAAGAGGGTGAGGTTCCCCCACTGTGGGCTGGGAGAGGGTCCATGGAGCCCTGTGAATTCAGAGTTGCAGGAACTTAGAGGAGAAATAAGATACATCCACATTTTGCTGGCATTCAGACCAGATTTTTTTTTTTTTTTTTTAAATAAACCTTAGAATAGAAAGTTTGCTTTCTCTTCCATCTTGTGTGCTTAAAAGACTTTAGGGTGAGCCTGCAGGTTTTCTATTTGCACATCTGCTTTCTGATATCTGCTCATCTGTTGCCTAGAGCAGCTGTGGTTGCCCCTGGATCCCTGGAAGTGTCCCTGGCTGGGTTGGATGGGGCTTGAAGCAACCTGGGATAGTGGAAGGTGTCCTTGCCATGGCAGGAGGTGGAATGGGATGATCTTGGGAATCCCTTCCAACCCAGACAATTTTGTAGTTATATGATCTGTTCTGCAGGATCATTTTTATTCAAGAAAGGGCTGCCTTTGCTGTTGGATTGGAAACAGCACAGCAGCTCTCTTAGGAAGCTGCAGTTTAAAAGCAAAAATTGTCTAGAAATAAGAGTTGAATCAATACTTCTCGATATGCAGCTGATTTTTCTCCTTTTGAGGATGGCAGATGTAAATCAGTACTCAAGGTTCACTTCCTGGGCCTTTCAGGATTCTGTGTTTGCACATTGAGGGAGTTGTTTTCCTCAATAACTGCTGTTCCTGGAGTGGAGTGCACAGCTCTTGGCACAAACCCTGGGGATGTTCCTCTGGCAGGCAGGAGGAAGGACCAGATGGTAAATACAGTAATGAGGGGATCTCTTTCCTATTTTGATCTTTTGCTTCTGATTTGATTTTTCAAGTGCATGGTGTTTGAGGAGGCATTTCCCAACTGTTTGGAAATGTTACTAAAGCTGCTTTTTAATAAAAGGTCACAGGAAAAGGGAATAAAGAGAAAGCTCCCTGGAGCTCCTGTTAAACCTTCACCTTTGAGAGTCTGGTACTGTAGAATCATCAGAGAATCTCCCAGAATGGTTTAGATTGAAAGGGACCATAAAAACCATCTTGTTCCACCTCTTGCCATGGCAGGGACACCTTCTGCCATCCCAGGGTGCTCCAAGCCCCAGTGTCCAACCTGGGGATCCAGGGGCAGCCACAGCTTCTCTGGGAATTCTGTTCCAGGGCCTCCCCACCCTCAGAGCCAGGAATTCCTTCCCAATCTCCCATCCAGCCCTGCCCTTTGGCAGTGGGAAGCCGTTCCCCTCCTTGTTAGACTGTGGCACTATGGGTTTTTGGCAAGTTTTTCTGTGCTGTAATTCCCACCTGAATGTCCTGTGGTGGGGCTGGGTCAGTGCTCAGCAGCCGTGGCTCCTTTTCACTCAGCTTTTTTTTGTTGCCCTCCCTGTCAGGAGCTGCAGGACCAGATTGATGAGCTGCACTCAGAGCTGCAGGAGCACCGTGCCCAAGGCAAAGTGCTCAGGCCTGCCCTGAAAAATTCCCTGTCAGAGGAGTTTGACATTGACATGAAGAGTCACGGCCACAGCGGGATTGAGCCTGACCAAGGTAAAGAAATCCCTCCTGTAGGACTGAGATCTGGGCTGCAGCTGTTTAGAACATATTAGAGGTCATTCCATGAAAACCTTCCCAGTGAGACTTGGTCACCACCTCTAATTTGGTGTTTAATGTTAATTCGGACTGTGGCTGCTGGACCAAATTTAAAGCTGAAATGGAAGTTTGCAGTTACTTGGCTGTGTTTGTGATGGGAGTTTGAAAGCTGCTCAACGAATTTGAACTGATGAAATAATTCTTTTGAGAATTATATCTATCTGTGTATTGTATAATTAATGCTTTTATATTTATATAAATTATTACTTGATTACTATTTCTAAAGGACTCGGTTCAGAAGACTGCAACCCATTAAATATGAGCATAGAGGCAGAAATGGCCATTGAGCAGATGAAGGAGCAGCACCACAGGGATCTGCATCACCTCAAACAGGAGCTTGAAGACACAGTAAGTGTTGGAATGAGATGGTCTTTAAGGTCCCTTCCCACCCAAACCAATTTGGGATTCTATGTTCCCAGTAAGAAATAAAGCTGAGCACTTATGCATTCTTTCCAGGGAAATAAATATAAGTTGCTGAAATGTAAATCAAAATATTCAGTAGAACGAATATACAAAACTAGATGGAAATATTGAAGAAAACATCCCTGTGGAATATTCTGTGGAAAATGAACAAATCCATCCCATTTTCCCTTCTGCAGGTGAGCCATTATGAAAAGCAGCTGGATGAGACAAAAGCCCACTGGGAGAAGGAGCAAGAGGATATGAGGCAGAAGTATGCTGAGGAGATGCATGTCATGGAAAAGCAGATCACTGGCCTTAAAAATCAAATAGCAGAGCTGCAGGGAGAGGCAGCAGCGTTCAGGGGGCAGCAGGAGAAGCTGGACTGTAAATACAACGAGGAGAAAAACAAATTACAGATGCATTTCGATGAGGAGAAAGCCAATCTGCAGGAACAGCTGAGGCAGGAGCATGAGGAGGATGTCAGGGCCAGACTGGAGCAGGCGAGTGAGAAGTTCAGGCAGGAACGGGAGGAGCTGATCCAAAACAGTGTCTGGGTGGAGGAAAAGATGAGAGTTGTGGTGCAGGCGCTGCAGGAGGAGAAGGGGGAGCTGGAACGTGGCTTCCAGCAGCAGCTGAAGAGGCTGGCGGAGGTGCACGCCCTGGAGAAGGAGGAGCTCCAGGAAGAGCTGCTGAGGAAGCACCAGCAGGAGCTGGAGGAGGAAAGGTGAGTGTCACCTCGGGTGGGGACAGTGCTGGAGCCTGGTGACCGAGGTGAACCCAGTGCAGAAACGCTTCCCTGGTGGGGAATTCCAAGTGTCCTGACTGCCCAGTGCTGTTCCTGCTCTGTTCCACAGCACTGGGCTGCTCTCCAGGGTTTCTTCTCTTCTGACCTTTCTCAAGCAGATTTAGATTCATTTTTAGCTCACCCAGAGGCAACAATAGTGTTAAAGCATAACCAGGCGTGGTTAACTCGAGCTCTGTTCAGGATCCCTGTGCTCCACAAACCCCTTTAGAACTCGTGGGTTTGCAGAGTTCTTTGCTGAAGAAGGAAAGGGGTGGCAGGGAAGTGCTTTTAGCCAACATGGAGTGTCAAAAGAAACTGAAGCCACCCTGGGGTGGCTTTGCTGAAGAAGGAAAGGGGTGGCAGGGAAGTGCTTTTAGCCAACACGGAGTGTCAAAAGAAACTGAAGCCACCCCGGGGTGATGGGGGTGAGAGCATCTTCCCCCCACAAAATCTGAGCACAGGAACTGAAGGGCACGTATTGCACATGAAACCTTTTCTGAGGACATTCCATGAGTTGTTGCACTTTTCCAAGGCAGTTTTTTCTTTTTGAAGTTTCACCAAATTGCCTCGAATTTAACTTACAGCTCCCAGAAACACCCATCCAATAGTGGGTGTGGGAAAAAAAAAAAAAAAGTAAATTTCCAACTTGTTTTATTCAGCCTAAAAAGCCACTTTAATCTCTGAGGTAGTTTAGTAATATCTTATGTTAACCATGTCTAGGAAAAAAATGGCAAGTGACTATAACAGAAGAGCATCTCATGCACAAACTCAGTTCTCTGTGGACACACAAACACTTGTGAATAAATATGAAGAAACCCTCCAGAGTCTGGAAGGACGTTACCAGCGAGAGCTGCAGGAACTTGCTGAGCAGCAAAGAGAGGAGAAATCCCAGTGGGAGTTTGAAAGGGATGAAATTGCTCAGGAGGTGGCTGAAGCCCACGAGCAGCTGAAGGAAAGCTTGGCAAGTGAGAAGGCTGTTTGCTGTGCCCTGACCCAGGAGAAGGATCTCCTGGAGAAGAATTTCAAGGAAGAAGTGAACAAGTTGGTGTGTGAGAGGGAGCAGCTGGAGAAGGAGCTGCTGGAGCTGAGGAATGCTGCCCAGGAGCAAGAGGAAAAGATGAAGGAGAAAATAAGCCAACTCCAAAATGACCATGAAAAAGAGCTCAAGGAGAAAGATGAACATATATCCACAGTGGAGCAAAATGGGAAACTGGTTAGGGAAAAGCTGGAGAGACTGGACAGTGAGTATAAGCGAGAGAAAGAAGAGCTCAATTCCAAACTTCTTGCTTTGGAGAGTTTAAACAGAGACATTTGTGAAAGAGCAGAGACAGAAAAGGCTGAGATGGGTTTGGAAGTCTCAGACCTCCGAGGGAAAATACAGAAATTGCAGTGGGAAACACGGAGTTTTTCTGCCCTGCAGAGCTACTACAGGGTCCTGGAGAGTGAGTATGCAAAAGCCAAGAGCCAAATCGCTGCTTTTCCTGGAGCAGCTCCTCTGGGAGATGATGGGGATGTTCTCCAAAACCTGCAGAAGGTGCACGAGCAGGCAGTGAAGGAGAATGTCAGGATGGCTGCCCAGATCCTGAGGCTGCAGCACCGGCTGGAAGCAGCAGAGCAGGAGCTGCAACTTCCCAGTCCCAGCTGCTCCCAGTCTGGCTCAGAACCAGAGGAAATGGATCCCAGTTTTGAAGGGTTGCCCAGTGATTGTCATGATGGAGCAGATTTCAGTGTCCTTCCACCCCTGGAGGCTGGTACTACAGACCTGGAAGAAATGTCAGAGGCAGATTGGGATTTGGAGGAGGGATGTGTGAAAGCCGGAGCTGGTGGCCACCCTGAGGCACAGGGATGTTCGATCCAGGGAAGTCAAGCAGCTCTGGATGCTGATGGCAACCAGGATTGTGATAAAAACCTTTCCTGGGTACCCCTGCTGCCAAAAAAGAGAGAGCTGGAGGAAGTTCCCAGGCCAAAAGCGCTGCACAACGATGTCACACAGCAGAAGGTTCATCTGCTAAATCACAGAATAGCTCCCAAAAATAAAGGGTTTGTTTCTGGTGCTTTGAAGATGCAGGTGGAGCTGGAGAGGGCTGAAGAACTGAGTGAAGACTCTCTCATGCTGGATCACCCTCCTGGGGCAGCAAACGGTGACCTGAAGAGTGTAATAACTCAACTTTGGAAAAGGATGGAAGAGCTGGAAGACAGATCCACGGCACAGGCTGAACTTCTGGCTCTACAAGAAGAAATTCAGCTAGAAAACGAGGATCTGAAAGCTGAAGTGATGCAGTTAATTGAAAAAAACAGAGTGCTGGAAGACAACCTGCGTAGGCTGAGAAGGCTTTGTCGTGAACAAGAAGAAAGCGAGATGAAAAGCATAAAGTTTGAAGAAGAAAACACCAAATTCCTCATGCAAGTTAAAGAATTGGAAGATGTCCAAGAACAAGATGCTCAAGGAAATGCAGATGTGCTGAGTGAGCGGAGAGGTGGGAAGCTGGAAGAACATCCCACGGCGTTCACGGGCCGGCAGGACGAGAATCCCCAAAGCGACAGCGCCGTGCCACAAGCGGGAAAAGCAGGAATGAGGGAGCCCAAGGCCCAGGTGGAGGAGAAGGCTCTGGCTCACCCAGAGGAGAGGAGGGCAGTGACCCAGGGCTTGCAGAGCACGTGCACTGAGCTGCAGCAGAAGGTTGACCTGCTGAGGTAACGTAACGCGGCGTTAGCCACTAACCCAGCGCTGCCTCGGCTGCTCCTTTAACCACCCTAGTTTAACTCTGATTTAACTCTGAGTAGCAACCAGTGCTGTGGACTCCTAACTCCTCTAATCGTGGATAAAGACCGCTGGAATAAATATCTGTGTGTGACTTACTCCTCCCTGTGCCCGCCACCTAAGCAGGAGCACCTGCCAGCTGTCCTGTGTGTGGATGTCACCGTCACCGTGTGTAGCTCCAGCACCAACCCATTGTATTTCCGTGTCCAAAACCCATGGTAACACTTCCAGAGTGCTTTGTAGCTTTTACTAATATTCACATCGCTCAGTTTGTTCCCTTTTCTAGAGCTGAATGTTGCTCACAAGGCTAAAATTGCTCCTGTGTTTCCTCAGTGTTTCGGTGAATGCTGTAGAATTATGGTAATTTGAAATGCTTAAAGTGCTTCTATTTTTCTCAGTATTTAAGTTAATATTAGAGAATTATAGGGACTTTTTTTCCCAGTTAGCAAACCCATAGGAGTGGGGTATGGTAAATACAGTTATAAAACATATATTCATGATATTATACTCATCATAGGTTTTACCTTTTTTTAACTACTGTGTTCCAGCAAGGATTTCTTTTTTTTTTATATGGATAAAGTGGCTACGAGTGGTTTAATTATTGTTCAGCATCAGCTTCCTGCAGGAAATTGTTCTTTCAGGTGTCCCACCATGGCTAAGTTATTTCTGTGCAGTCTCCTGAGGACAGAAAAAACACTTCCCAACCGTGCTGTTCCCAGAATTCTGAATTCCAGTTGGGGAAACAGCTCACTCTCCTGGCAATTGCATGTTGTGGTGTTCAGTTGTTATTTGTAGCTGAAGAACTCAAAAATATGTAGAATATTAGTGTGAAGCTTTAGATTTTAACTTACTTGAGCTGCTCAAAAACATGCCCTGAAATCCCAGGGTTTTTTTTTAAAGTTTGTTGTAAAATTGTGGGTTTTTTTGAACAAACTGGGGGAGCGCCCCTGCTGAATTGATGTAAAATATAACTACACCATTTATACATAAAACAAGGCAATTGTAGCTTTGTTTTTGAAGCATTACAGGTAGCTCTGACCTGGGGGACTCTCTCCCTCTCCAGGTGTCCTACGGGAACTTTCTCACTTGTCTCCTGTCTCTGGCACAGGTGTGAGGCCGAGAAGCTCCGTGAGGAAAACGCCGTCCTGAAAAAGGAAGTGACTTTATTAAATGAGGAAGGGAGCGCTTCCAGCCTGAAACTGAGGGAACTGAATGGATCCAGGGAAGAAATGAGGTGAGAATTGCATGGGGAATGCACCCTGTGATGCCTTCAGGCTGTTGTGTGGCTCAGCCACAATGGGTTCATCCCTTCTCTCCAAGCTCCTTCGTGTGATAGGTGCTGTACAGATCCAAAATAGGTTTTTTTCAGCAGGTTGTCAGGTTATTCCTCATCCTTTTCCCTGCCCCAGCTTGTCCTGCCCATCCCCAGAGCCAGGCAGGGGTTTAGCTGTAGGCATTGAGGTGACCCAGTAACACGCACAGGACTGCCTTGGGAGCTGACCTGATGCAATTGTTTGTGCTTCAGCAAAGGCAGGGAGAGGCTCACCTGACAGATTATTCCAGTGCTTGGGTCTTTGGCAAGTGCAGAACCATCCATGATCCTGGGATTATTCTTCCCCTCTAGGAAAATCCCACATGGGGCACCTTGAGAGGCTGAGCACTTGCCAAGTTGATGCAGAACAGGGATGCTGAGCAGTAAATAAAAAAATATCCACAATTAGCATTTCTGGTAGTGTTTTAAAAAAACAGCTCATAAGGTTGGAAAAGACCTCCAAGATCATCAAGTCCAGCCATTAACCCCGCACTGCCAAGGCCACCACTGAGCCATGTCCCCAAATGCCACATCCACATGGATTTTAAATCCCTCCAGGGATGGGGATTCCACCACTACCTTGGGCAGTGAAGAAACCTTTCCTAATACCCAATCTAAACCTCCCCTGGCACAACTTGAGGTGATGTTCTCCTGTGCAATCCTGCAGTTGTGGATATTGAAAATTTATTTTAGTGTTAACGAGCTTTCATTTTTCCACAGGCAGAAGATAGAGGCTGTGAGAAAGGAGAAAGTGGCTGTGCAGAAGATGGTGGACAACCTGAAAAAGCAGGTGTGTGCCCTGAGCCCAAAAACTTCTCTGTAGAAACCATCACTGCATCAAAGCTGTTCCTTGGATAGTCACAAAGACAGCTGCAGACAAGCATTTTATGAATTTAAATGTTTTGATGACTGTTTTATTGCCTCTTTGGGGTTGATTTGAGGCTTGCTTGAGCTGCTCATAAGACACAAGCTGTAATTGTCCAGCTTACAGGTCTGAGAGCACTTTCCAAAGTCAACTTGGAAAGTTTATTTTATAGAAATACAAGGTTTAAACCTTTTGTTTTGTAGTTTTTATGCAATTCTCTGCAGTAGCCCATGAAAAATATAGATTGTGATTCAACCTCTACTTATTTCCCAGCTGGCTTGGACTGGGAATTCTGCCGGTTGTATCCTTGTGGCTGCTACTTTTATTTTAAGGGTGGCTTGTTATAATGGGTGAAATAAAAAGGATAAATTACTTTTTACATCCATGCCATCATGGTATTGCTTAGGAAAATACTTACTCAGAATAATCTGTTAGGATAACCCTCAAAATCCACACCAGCATGGCAAAGTGTGCTGTGTTGGGTGACTGGTATGATATGATTGGTCTCTAATTATGACAAATTATTTGTTTGGAGTCACTTGTCAGAGTGGGACTTGTCAGACCTTAATAGAAAGGGAATATCCAAAATCTCATTCCTGGTGTAAAATCACTGCTGTCCGCACTCAGGTGGCTGATCTGAAGACCAGGAACCAACAGCTGGACTCTGAAAATACAGAACTCAGCCAGAGGAACTCCAAAAACCAAGCAGATGTGCAGGATCTCAATCAACAGCTGGCAAGGGTGCTCAAGCAAAAGGAAAGGGAAGAGGGGAAGTGTACCCTGGAAGAATGGGAAAAGGAGAGGCTGCTGCTGAAAGAGGAACTGGAAAACTCCAAAATCGAGGTACAGGATTTGGTAGGACAGTTGGACTTTGGGGGCTTTGGAATTGGCATCTCTGTCCTGGGATGGGATTTCAAAGCTGAGCTTTGCTAAGTGCTGACTTAAACACAGCAGCAGCCAAAAGCCAGGAGGGAAAAATGTGCAGGTTTGTCTTGAAAACACAGCTTAGGGGTGCCAAATATTTCCCTGCACTTCCCAGCATGGCTGCTGTTCATCCAGTGCTGTCTCAGCTCTATCCAGGGGCTGCAGCATCCTCTGCTTAAACTTTGCTCTGTGACTCTCCTAAATTGAAATCTGAGCCTTTTATTTTTTGCAGTCATCAAATATGGTGTCGTCTTTGGAGATGGATTTGTCAAAAATGAAGGTTCAAGCTCATCTACTGGAGCAGGAGAACCACATCCTCAAGCAGGAGCTGGAGAAGACAAAGCAGGTTTGGCATCTTCTTGCCCAGAGGAGCTGTGGCTGTCCCTGGATCCCTGGAAGTGTCCAAGGGCAGGTTGGGTGGGGCCTGGGGCAGCCTGGGAGAGTGGAAAGTGTCCCTGCTTATTCCAGAGGGATTGGAACTTGATGACCTTTAAAGGTCCCTTCCAACCCAAACCCTTCTGGGATTCTATTTGAGTGCCATCAGATAAATTTTCACCATCTCTTAATGGAGGAAATTTTCACCATCTCTTAATGGATGAAATTTTCACCATCTCTTAATGGATGAAAATTAAGAGGTGGAAGTAGTTGATTTCTTTAAAGAAAGGTCATAAAACTAAGGGAATGTAACTCCTCTTCAAACAGTTTCCAGGTGCAACACACAATTCTTCAAATAAGATTGGGTTCACTTAGACTTTGCCAAAAGATTTTTGGGAGTAGTGGATCTACAAAGAGAAGCTCTGGTCAAGATAAAGATTTAAAGCTCTATTTAAGGGACAGACAGGGCAAGTGGGATCCACAGGAGAACATTTCCCTGTTTAACTGGAGATAACCCATTTTAGCTCCATTTAAGGAGTGAGCTCTTCCAGCATGTCCTGTCAGGGAGAATTCCTGTTGCTAAACCCATCTGGAGATCTGGGAGTCTCACAAGGTCTGAGGATAATTTCCTGGAGCGCTCAGTTATCTCCTGTACAAGCACAGCTCAATTGCCTGTAAATATATGCTAATAAAAACAGATAATGAAGGCTTCAAACGAGTAATTCCCTGATTAGGGCTCCACAAAGTCATTTTCTGCACACTGTAAAACACTCGGTTGAGGCACCGAGTGCTCAGGGTAGATAATGGCGTTAAAAAGCAAAAGCAGCTGAGGCCTATTCAGAAAGGAGAGGATTGTGGCTGGAGTGTAATTACAGGAGTGGAATGAGGAAAAGGCAGTGATAAAGCACTGGGGCAGTTGGGAAAAGCATTGGAAGTCAGCAGTGCAGTGATTTTCCCTCTGTGTGTTTTAACACACGGTGATTTCCATGGCATATTACGGAAAAATCCTTCCCTGTGAGGGTAGTGAGGCTCTGGCACAGGCTCCTGGATCCCTGGAAGTGTCCAAGGACACCTTGGAGCAACCTGGGACAGTGGAAGGTGTTCCTGTTTATTCCAGAGGGATTGGAATTTGATGACCTTTAAAGGTCCCTTCCAACCCCAACCATTTGGGCATCCCCTGATTTTCGTGAGGGTTCCCCAAATACTGTGACAGCATAAAAATGCAACTCTGAGGGTTTTGTTTCCCACAGCTGCCCAGATGTCCTGATCTCTCTGACCTTCAAAATGAAGTTTCAAGTTTAATCACTAAAAATGAAAAGCTGCAGGAAGAGAAGGAAGCCCTGAGTGAGGAACTGAACAGATGCATTGATAAGGTAAGAAAGGACTGCAAATCCACATCACTAAGTGCTCTAAAGGGCTGTTTAAATTCCTGTATCTGTATCAACTTAACCTGTAAGACTTCTCTGGATGTTTTTTCCTCACCCTCAAGCTAAATAAAGGCTTAATTGCCACTGCTTAGATTTTATTTTTTTTTTTCCCTAGCTGGTCTTAAGAGAGGAAAGCTTAAATTCTGGAGCACAGCTTTACTGTAATTTGATTATGTAGAAAATTCCAAACATTGCAAGGAAGAGAGGCCTGGATATAAATACTGCAGCAGGACAAGGAAGACAGTGTTCTTGGACTTTTATTGCATCTCTAACCTACTGTAACTCTGAACTGGAGCAGAGCAGTCTGCACACTGTAAATAATAATCCCATTGTGTGGAAATTTAGGGAACTGAGGGGCTTTTTGCTTTCCTGCATTTTCCTTCCTTCCTTAGCTTTAACTCCCTCTAGGGTAACCCATGAAGTCAAATGGAGTGAAAAACAAATTCCTGAGTGAGGATTTCTGATGTAATCTCATTGCAGGTAGCTCAAGTCAGCTGCCTGGAGAGTGCAATTGGCAGCTTGAAGCAGGAGCAGAAATCCTGGGAGCAGCAGAGTCAGGCACTGAAAGCACAGCTCAGCCTCTCCCAGGACAAGGTATGAAACACTGATTTATGTTCTAGCTCTGGATAAAAGCATTTTGATCATCTCCTGTAGTGCTTTTTCCCATGAAAGCCCCTCCTGATGCTGTGCAGCTGAGAATGGCTGCTTGAGGGGCTTTCCAAGTGAGGTTCTTAAAGGACAAAAGGAAACTTGTTACACACAGTGAGGGATTTTTCTCTCTACAGCCAAGTTACTTTTGCCACTTCCCTCTGCCTGGTGATTCCTAAAATGCTGCAGAGACTCTGCTGTTGCTCCTCTGTCCTGGTGCAGGCTCATCCTTCCCCAGGCAGGGATGGGATCAAGTAGTTCCCTGCCTGGCTGAGCATTCCTGGAGTAGGAAGAATTCCTGCCAGGAAGAACAAACAATTCAAGGGAAAGCTCCTTTCCAGGATATCACAGTAAATGCTCAGGGCTGGAAGATGTTTCTGGTGAATGCAGCACTGTGGTTCTATCCAAAGTGGGTGGTTGCAAGCTTGGAACAGAAAGTTGGGAAATAATTTGGAATCATAGAGTTTTAAGGGTAGAAAATCCCTATAAGATTGAGTCCAACCATTCCCCCACCACTGCCCCATGTCCCCAAGTGCCACAACCACCCAGCTTTTAAATCCCTTCAGGGATGGGGACTGCACCACTGCCCTGGGCCGCTGTGCCAATGCTCAAAAACCCTTTCCATGAGGAAATTTTCCCTAATATCCAATCTAAACCTCCTCTGACACACCTTGAGGCTGTTTCCTCATCCTGTCCCTTGCTCCCCAGGAGCACAGCCTGACCCCCTTCAGCTCCACCTTCCTGTCAGGGATGAGTAGAGAGCAATAAATTCAATTTAACATTTTCAAAGGAGGGAATCATTGTTTTAACTTCACTCCTTCCATCAGAGAATCCTAAATACCTGGGATACCTGATCCACACAGGGAATCTTGATCCAGCAAAAGCCAAGCTGTGCTCCTGTTCCTTCCAGGTTCAGAGCCTCAATGAAACTCTGCAGAGCACCAACCTCCAAATGTCCAGGCTGAAATCTGACCTGCAGGTGACACAGCAGGAGAAAGAAGGTCTGAAACAAGAAGTGATGGCATTGCACAAACAGCTGCAGAGCACCAGTGAAAAGGTAAAGGGCTTCAGGCATCTCAGGAGGTAGCTATAATTATTGGATATTGGATATCATGTGCAGGTTTTAAGGTGATTTTTAAAAACTGTATTTTTTAAAACGTGGACAGGCAATGATCAGTCCCTCTCCTGAGTCTCCATTCATCCCTAAAAGAAACCTTTTGCCAGTCAAACCCCCAAATCTGTGGACAATGCATTAATTTACACCTATCAACTATAAAAATTAAACCAGTCATTGGTAGAGGATCTAATTTTCAGTGCAACTTGACTTTGAAAGGTACAGAATTACATCAGCCTCTCAGCTAATGAGGATTTGTAACTGAAGGAGGTTGTAGACAGCAGTCTTGGGATTGCTGTTATGAATTCAGTTACTAATTTGGCTTGTTTGCCATGTAATTAAGGAATATTTAATGTCCACGTGGAAAAGAGGCTGTTTCAGAATTGTACAACAGGAGCTAAATTACAGCTATTAGTGCATAATATACAATACTGAGTTCTGTTTGGCTCTAAGGAGAGCATAAATTGCTTTTTTTGTGTTGCTGAACTCTGTGCACTCCTTGTGCACACAGCTATTATCCATCATTTTAGTAGAGGGAAGCACTTGGGATTGCACACTGGATTTCTTAAGGGAAAACAGTGAGTGGGCTGGGAGGGAGATGGGAATGCTGCAACTTTGGAGCCTGCACTTCCTGAAAATCCACCTAAAACCCACCTGAGTAGAGCAAATGTCTGCTTCTTTGTTGAAGGCCTAACCCTGCAATTCTGTCTGTCTTAAGAACCGGGTTCTGGAAGTGGCTGTGCCTCCCTCAGGGCTGCAGGACCAGCAGGGGCTGATCCATTGGGATGAGCAGGAGCAGGAGCAGAGGCTGCTCAGGCAGGAGAACGAGAGGCTGCAGAGGGAAGTGCAGAGCACTAAAACAGACCTGGCTCACTCCAGGGAAAAGGTAAGCTGGGCAAGCTGGCTCTGGAAGTCACTCAGACCACAATGCATAGCTCATAATCCAAGCAGGTTTTGAATATCTCCAGAGAATGAGACTCCACAACACTCCCAGGATACTTCTTTTCTTTAAAAGACAATCCTAAAATCCTTTAAAAATCCAATATTAAGAACCTTTTTGTTAACTTGAAGTTGGACTGAAACCTTGGACAAGGACTGGTAATCTTTTTTGTTAACTTGAAGTTGGACTGAAACCTTGGACAAGGACTACCGTCCTTGTCCAAGGTTTCAGTCCAACTTCAAGTTAACAAAAAGATTCTTAATATTCCTAACGTTCTTCTTGTGCAATTTCTTGGCTCACAGTTCTTAGTGGATTATGGGGAGGATGAAGGGAAAGAAGGCCAAGATATCAAAGCAAATATGTCCAAAATATCCCAGAGAAGCTGTGGCTGCCCTTTGATCCCTGGAAATGTCCAAGGCCAGCTTGGACAGGACTTGGAGCAGCCTGGGATAGTGGGAGGTGTTCCTGCCCATGGCAGGGGTGGGATGGGTTGGGATTTAAGGTCCTTTCCAACCCAAACCATCCTGGGATTCTGTGATTCCAAAGTCAACTGGTATTTTAGAAGAAGTGGAGCTATCTGGAACATCTTTTCCCATTTGTTCATCCCTGATCTCCTCAGATCCGACAGCTGGAATCCACAATCCTTTCCCTAAAGCACCAAAAGCACCAAAGCCAGGCAGGGATTGTCAAAGCCATCGAGCAGGAGAAGCTGAGCTTGAAGAGAGAGTGTGAACAGCTTCAGAAGGAGTTGTCATCTGCAAACAGGAAGGTGAGTTTTGGGTGGTAAACACACAATTCAGTGCAGGGATTTCCATCTCTCAGAAGCTCAAGGGATAAGCTGTGTTTTAAGTGTGTGGAACATGGACAGGCAATGATCAGTCCCTCCCTCGAGTCTCCATTCTTCCCTAAAAGAAATCTTTTGCCAATAAAACCCCCAAATCTGTGGACAATGCATTAATTCACGCTTGTCAGCTGTAAAAATGAAACCAGTCATTGATCTAATTTTCAATGCAACTTGGGTTTGAAAGGTACAGAATTACACCAACCTCTCAGCTAAGATAATTTTCTTCTGCTGCTCTGAATTTTGTGCTCTTTGCCTCTCACAAATCTTTGTCTGAAGTAGCTGACAGGGCTCTGTGCATCTGCTGTGAGACAGCTCTTGTAGCAAAGCACTTTTCCAAATACTTCTGGTTTTTAGACTTGTCTGGGTATTCAGTGGTTCATGAGGGGGGAAAAACAGATGAAATGAGAAATTGCTGCTTTTCTAAGGAAACTTTTTGTCTCTGATAGATCAGTCAGATGAATTCCCTTGAACGTGAACTGGAAACCAGCTCAGAAAACGAAGGGCTGAGAAAAAAGCAAGTCAAGCTGGATGATCAGTTAATGGAGGTACTTTTCAATCACTGTTGACTGTGGGCCTTTATCACTATTTTAGTGAATTTATTTTATTTTAAACAACTTATGGATGTGTAGCAACAGAGAAAACTTAATTGAAACTAGAAGAATTAACCTCTCCTGATTTTTAATCTCATGTTTCATAACCAAGTTGTGTGACAAACATCCTGCTCTCTGAAGCATGTTTTGCTTAGTCATAATTCACATATGGCTTCAGATATAAAATCAAATAGCAAAGAAATTTGTTTCTGTACTTGAGGCAAGGCTGACACTTCCCTCTTCCTTCCCAAAACATGTCACCTCAAATTTCCTATCTAATGTTTGTGTGATGCTGCTCTCCATGTAGAAACCTGTTCTTCTTTCCTCTGTGAATGATTTGCTGAATTTGAGCTTAATATTATCTAAATCATGGGAAAAAAAACAATTTACACAGCTTACTGTTAATTTAAAGGTGCAAGTGAAAACTGTAGAGGAGATTCTTCCAAAAGCTGCTGTAAAAGTTCTGCAGGAGATGGATCATGCTGGATATCAAAATTTAGGAGTGTTTGGTTATAGGAATGGGCACCTTAAGTGTGTATTGTGTGTCCCATAAGGTCAGCCCAGACCTCCAAGTTCTCTCTCAGTAGTCTTGCCTAAATTGGATGTCCTGGATTTGAGTTTAAAACATAATAATTTTTTTAAATCCTACAATTTTGACTTGTTCCATAAGTCAGAGCATCTTTTAGATGAGGCTTCTATACCACTTCATAAATGGCTTCATGTTTTTCATCAAATGGGAGCCATTAGGCTGAAAATCCTATGTAATTAGTAATAAAACTGTAGAAACCTAATTAGGAAATATGAGATTTTGACAAGTTAATGAAAAGACTGTTTTTATTCCTTGTGAATTTATTTATATAGTCTTAATTAAGCATTGGGAAAAATGCCAGACACTCAAACCCATAAACACCCAGCCTGGGATTGCCTTTTCTCCTGAAATGTGTATTTCAAACAGGCAGGATTTTGTTCCTCCTTGAAACCTTTTCCCAGCAGATGTGTACAACATTCACTCAGGGATTTGTGACTTCTAACTCTCTCTTTTGTGCCTGTTCTCCTTTTGTCCATGGCTAACCTGGCTAGAACTCAGTGGTTGGAACTAGCAGAGAAGGGGGCAGTTCTCTCTCTGAAATAGTGTGTGAAGGTAGAGCAATCATTTTTAATGTACCCCCATAGCATGGAGAAAACACTCTTTTTTTTTTTTTTTTCTTTTTTTTTTTTTTTTTTAAATGGATTTTTTTTCCTTTAAATTCCATGCATCTCTAAAGTAAAGAAGCCACTATTCATTTCAGTGTCAATTTTGGACAGCTGCAGCAGGTTCTTTGTGGTTCTGCACCCCGAGGAGCTGTGTGTTCCTAAGGGATTGCCATGAAAATGGACACAAGTCACCCCATTGCTTCCAAAAGAATTAAAATTGGAAGTGGGAGAATGAAAAGTGGCTTCCTGCTACCCCATTGCCTGTGAGGCTTGAAGGTGTTTGCATATTTACCTCTGGTGCCTGCATGCTTTTCCACCAGACTGTCCAATGTTTCCTTAAATTAATTAATTTCTGATCCCACTTGGCATCATCCTGGTAGTTTAGCAAGCTCATGGTTGTTCCATTTTCTTCCACAGATGAAAACAGCAGGGCTGTATTGTTTTCATTGTTGTTTCATTAGTAATTATTTTTAAGATGCTGCTAACACTAATTGACTATTTCCTCATTAGTTACTCACATGTTTTACAACTTGACAGAAGCCCTGAAAGAAATTCCACCAAAAGCTCATTATTTTCATTGTTTATATTGTAAGGAAAAGAACACTCCTTTACAGACAGAGAACCCTTAGATAGCTTTAAAAAGTACAAATAGTTTTATTTTGAAGTATTTATAAATGTTTTCTCTTTACCTGGACCAGCAGAGATAGGGATGGTAACAGGGCCAGAAGAGCTGCACCATTGTGAAAAATATTTACAGTTAGAGATGAAGTCAGTAACTGAAATATTATCCAAAATGGTAATTTTGCCAGTTGTGAAAGGGAATTAAAATCAGTTGTGAAAGGGAAATGAAAATCACCACGACAATCTTATGCGCCTTTTCCTAAGGGAACAGAGTAATGGTTTTAAGGCAACAGGACCTTTATGGAAAGAAATTATTAATGCTACACACATTCCAGATACAAATGAGTTTGTCTGAACCTTAAAGGTCTTTACTGTCCAGCTCTGGTCCTTTTTAGTATAATTAACTCTTCCACCTAACTGTGAGTTACTTACCTGGGTTTTGCTCTAGCCTGGAAAAATTCTAAATTATTTCACATGACTGTCTTAGCTCTTAATATCTCCACAGTTAGGAGTGAACATTGGGAAATATCTATAGGCTGTTATATACTGAATTCTGAACATAATGTCAGAGATAAATGTTCCTTTTCCATCCTAAAGACCAGAAATAACCAGCACAACTTCAGCCTTCCCCTCGAAATGGGAAATTATTGCTACTTAAAGCTCACCAACTAAACTTTGATAGGAATTCTTCAAAAACTCAGTGACTTTTATCATTCAGGCCTGAAGTGATGAATCAAAGCCCAGCTTCCTTTGTGTGAAATTCCATCTTTTTGTCACCTTCTGTCACCGAGCTCAGGTTTCTCTTGCAGAGAGAAATCTGAGAGCGAGCTGGCAGAAGGAGCAGGTGCTGATGTTGGAATTTTGGCTTTTTGCAGATGCTGCAGTCCGGGGGGATGCTTAGCCAGAGCTCCCAGCAGCAGGGCTGTGCCACGGTGCCCAGGGAACAATTCCTGCAGCTCCAGCAGCAGCTGCTCCAGGCAGAGAGGAGGAGTCAGCACCTCCAGGAAGAGCTCCAGAGCAGACCCTCGGGGACAAACATGCAGCAGGTAAGGTCCCCCCACCCTGAAAGTGAAGATTTTTAAAGTTGGCTTGGGGGTTTTTGGGTTTTTTTTTATTCTGATGAGATCCATTCTCTGTTTATGCCAGTTCAAAAATGAAATTTCATGGCAGCAAGGATACGTGCAAAAAATGCTGTTTAGTATGGTTAGCCTGAGCCAGAGCTTTGTTCTGAAGTCCTCTGAATTTTTTTTGAGATCAAACCACTCCCATCCACATTTAACTGGCTTTTTTCCTTCTACTCCATGTGCAGTGAGTGTTTTTAGGTTTTGTTTGTTTGTTTATCTCCTGACCGTGTCTGGAACTGTTATTTTTAAAATACACCACACCAGATATTGCACAGGCATCCATCACATAAAATCCTAATTTGGGCTGTTGCTGTCACATGGAGTTGTGTCAGTTGTAGCAGGGCAGAACACAAATTAATCCTTTTTTCTAAGGATTTTTTTCTTAATCCTTTTTCTTCCTGATTTGGCCATGAGGCAAGACAATGTTACTGTTGTACAGAAACTTCAATATTGGCATTTCTGAGGGAAAACCAATTCCAAGGAAGATTAATTCATCCACTGCCCACATTGGGCAGAGTCACTTTTAGTGTTAATTATTTACCTTTTAAAACTGAATTATAGGCAAGAGAAAGGTTTGCATCTGCCATATAAAAATTGCCAAATTATTCTTTTCTTCAAAAAGTAATTGGATCTCTAAAGCTTTGGCTCAGGCCAAATAAGGTCTTAAAATTATATGACAACTCTGCCCTATGAGAAAAGATAAAACTCTAAGTAACCTAAAAGTATATTTAGTATTTTATCTATTTTAGATTAGATATTTATTTAGATTTCTACTTAGATTAAATAAATACATTAGATAAAATGCTATAGCTATTTATTCATCTGGTAGCAGGAAAAAACCACTCCTCTTATATTTTAAATTTAGACTGCAGTTATACTTTAAAATTATACCTTAAAATAATAAGACCAAGATTTTGAAGATCAAAAATCTCTGAATGTGGTAATAGGTATTCCAGAAAAAAAGGTATTATGGAGAGAGTGTAGGCAGTGACCAGTTTTTAAAGTATCCAAAACTTGGAGTAAATTTCTTTTTTTAAAGAAAGGCATAAAATCAAAATGTTTCATTAAAAAATAAAAGCAAATAATTTCAGGTTAAGTAGAAATAAATTGATTGTAGGTTCCTTTTCAGAAGTGCATCACCACAGGCTGAAATACTTGGTCCTGTGTACCATGGGGAGCAAAATGTGCAGTTTAATTTAAAAATCAATCAAAGCCATATTGCAGCAGTGGGGAAATGAATGTCCTGGGATTGCATTAGGAGTGATGAGTTTGTAATTTAGATTTTGGAACAATCTGCAAACGAGTCACATCCTGGAACTTGCAGTTACAGAGAGGAAATGCTCCTGCAATTCCTGGAAAAGCTTTGTGAATTTAAAAACACTTAGAGCTGTGCTAATATTTGCTGTCAATGCACTAATGCACTTAGTCATCTAAATTTTTTTGCTTTTTTCCTTAAGTTGAGTGAATAGTCTGGTTTGTAACACCCTCTTTTTATTACATAACTTTCTCAATAATGATTAAAAACCTGTAGTTGTAAACAAAGCCAGATTTGTTTGTCTCCACTTTGTAAGCACCTCCTGCTTGAATCTCTGTTGATTTTTCTTTGCCATCCTGATTTTTAGGGTTTGACACTTAGTTGAGCTCATGTCCCTTTTAATGTCCCCTTCAGCACCCTGAAAGCTTCCATCCTAATCCCTCTCCATCATCCTTTCACCAGTGAGGACAAGGTCAGGTTATCTCCCTGCTTTTCTGTGTAAAATCAGTCATTTAATTCTGCTGCTGCTTTGCTTTTTGCAGCTTTCTTAGATCCTGTGTAATGACAGATCCAAAGTTATCCTCATTATTTTTTTCTTTTAATGGAATTATTTTGTCTTTATCCTGCTTTGCAGTTTTCATTGCTTTTTGGTTCTCTGTGGTTTTTCATTCATTTTAGAGTCAGTTCCTGAGTTATTTTCACCCAAAAGCTGCTGTTACATGTTTAAATTTCACTAAATTAAATTATAACTCCTGAGCTGTTTGTACTGTGTTAACCTGTCTGGACTCTTCTGAATTTCCCATGACTGTTTCTGCTGTGTCCAGTGCTGTGATTGCCTCATATCCCTTTCTCAATTACCAAATTTGGGAGCTTGTTAATTACCCAATATTTCCCAAAGCTTGCCTAGCACTGATTAATATTTGAGTTGCTCAGTTCCCCCTTTGTACAGCTCTTTATTTCAAATTTTGTATCACCTCTGACCAGCTGCTTGTTCCTTCAGGAAAAAACAACAAAGTTTGAGATAGAAATGCAAAGTTTTCAATGGAGGGCCAGTTTGGCTACATTTTTCCCAAATGCTTGGCAATCTATGAGATTTTACATACTTTTTAAAATATATATTTTATATATAATGTTTGGCTACATTTTTCCCAAATTCTTGTCAGCCTGTTAAGTTTTTATATAGATATTTTAAAATATATATATATATTATATTTATATATCATGTTTAGCTACATTTTTCCCAAATGTTTGGCAATCTGAGATTTTTATATAGATATTTTAAATATATATGTATTATATTCATATATGATGTTTTGCTACATTTTTTCCCAAGTGCTTGTCAATCTGTGAGTTTTCATATATATTATATGAGATTTTCATGCTATAAATGAGATTTTTAGAGAGAGAGAGGAGGATTTCCTCTTTATAAATTTTGCTAACTTAATCACTGCCACTGATTTTTTAAAAAAACCTTAGATGTAGAAAATACCCCCTCAATCTCCCAGCTGTGTAGTGCTAATAATAATAATTACAGCTATAAAATATAAGATAATCTGCATGTTTTTTCTCTTTGTGTGTGTATTTTTTTTTTTGTCCTGCGTTGCTTGCTTTGCTTGTATTGGTGATTTTTTTATTATTATTTTTTGCTTGAAGTGTTGATGTTTTGAAGAAAAACCTGGATATCAGGGTGAAGTATTCCCACTTGCCTTCTTTCTCTAGGCCTTGCTACCGGAGCAGCGAGCAGTGCATGCAGATTCCTACAGGAGGATTGGGCACCTCTGACACCTCTGCCTGCTCTTCATCCCATTCCTTTTCCATGATAAACACACAAAAACACAGAACTGGCATAAGCTGAGAAAATTGTGGATCAAATTTTCTTTCCCCCTCTTTTTTCCCTTTTTTGTCCCCAAAAAAAACAGCAAAAAAATTCTCCTCAGTGTTATTTTCTTATTTATTTGTCTAGAAGCTATTTTGTGAAAGCTCAGAAGCTTCCAGAAGCTTTTTTAAATTTGTTACAAACGGGTTTTATTTATGTTATTTAAATTGTGCAGTTGTTCAGTATGGGAAAGAGCCTATTTTTCTCAAATGGTACTAATTTTATATGAGATTTGAAGAAAACCTGGGGTATTTATACTGCATTTTTGTATAAGATGTATAAACTTTTTAACAGGGAAAGATGACTTTTTTTGATGTAAATGAAAAATAAAATCTTTTTTTAAGCATAATGTCTCTTGTCTTCATAGAAATCAATAATTTCCACTTCAAGAATTAACAGGTTTCAGACAAAATATTTATCTTTGATAATGAACATTGTTACATCAGGACTTCTGGGCAATATTTGTGGTGGGGTCTACTAGAGTACAGAAGCTCAGCTTTTGTTTAGCAGATGTACCTGAAAAATTAGGAAAATGAGGGATCTTCTACTGCTGTGGCCATAAAACAAAAAGGGAAAATTATTGTTTATTGGAGAAAATTCTTTCATTTTTATTTTGTCTCCAACTAGGATTTAAATAAAATTTCATTAATTTATTTTGATTTAATTAATTTATTTAATCCTAATTTAATTAAATTAGGATTTTAATACTTTAATGGTTCAGCAAAACACCTCTTTAAGGCCTGTGATTTTTCTAGTTGGAGCCATGAACCATTTCAGCTGTTTGCTTGTAAAGATCTTTTTACTCCTATTTTTAATGACCTTAAAGCTGATGCCTGAGCTGACTTCTCTCATTTAACATGAAATAATGTGAATTGAGAATATTTAAGGCAAAAAAATCCAGGGATCACAGGTACTGAGACTTCTCTAATTCTTCTTGTCCACATAATTACTCACTCAGGGCTCCTGCAACCAATGGGAAGTGGAATAGTGAATTCCAGGGTTTTGAATGCCAATAAAATTCCATTAATTCAGAAAAATATCCACACCACCCACACTCTAAAACTGTTTTCTATGTGACTCTTTAAGCTTTTTAATTAAAATTAATTATTATATAACCTCATACACAGATTTTAATTTCTGATGCTACAGCAAATAAAATGTTGAGTGAGCTTCAATCAGCCCCCTAAAGGAATAATTTTGTAGGGTTTTAGATGAGGAACTCCCTACCTGAAGCAGATTTTCATTTATCCTCCTCCACAGGTGGGATGGGTTTGGGTTTGAAGGTGTTTTATTTTGGGTTGGTGCTTTCTCAAACTTTATCTCTCCTCAAATCACTGCCTGGAATTTGAGTAACAAACCAGCATTAAAATAAAGTCTCGATTTTCCTGCAGTCGGTGTCGAAAGTTCCTAAATCCAAACAAGTTCTTTTGTAATTCCTGATGTTTCTTTTTTTTGGGGGGGAAAATTTCCCTCAGGTGTTGGTGTAAAGGCCTCATGACACAGAATTATGATTCTTTTAGTTACACTGACACCTTGCTGAAGAAAAAGAAGAAAAACTAGTTTTTAGGGATATGAAAACTAATCTAAAAAGATGTAAAAAATGAAGTTTGGAGTCCTGCTTTTTTTGGGTATTACTCCATTTCAAGGGATCTCTGGCATGGGAGAGTTACATTGTCAAACATGACCTTATGACTTCACCTTGTTTTTATTCTAAAACCATGAAATTGGCATTTTGTTTCCCACATTCATCAGAAATTTGGCAGCACCAAAGAACAAGAAAAGGAAATTATCCAGCTCTGACTTCCAGATAATACAGAACATTAGAATTTTATGTAATTTTTCCTTGAGTTGGTATAATTTCAATTATAAGTTGCTTGGAAAACCAGTGCAATGCTGAAAGTGTCCTTTAAGTGCTGCCAGAATATTTTGCTTCTATGAAGGTTTTATTAATTTAGTTGCCTCTTAATCAGATTGAAGTGTGGAGGGCCACCTATTTTCTTGAGCATAAACTGGAAAAACAAAACAGACTGCTGAATGGGAACTGATTTTTAAGTAATTTTTCACATAAATGTTGCTTTCCAGGGGGATCATGAGCAGCTTCTAAAAATGATGGAAGAGCGGATGATGGACGTGGAGCAGAAATTAAGGCTTGTGAAGAGGCTTCTCCAAGATAAAGTACATCAGCTGAAAGAACAAGTAAGTGTTCTTGGGCTTCCTCAAACCTTCCCCATTCCTTCTTTAAACCCCTAAGTGGGGAAAAGCTGCCAAGCTGTTGTTCAGAATAAAGATAAAAGTGGTTTTTTTAATAAAACCAGAGCTCAACTACAGCACAGTTGCCCAAAACTTCATAAAACTCCAAACTGGGGACTGAAGCCACTACTCATTAGTTTCCTAAGTCAGGAAACAAAAATCAAATTTCAGCTGAGGATGCTAACTGGAAAAGGATGCTTAGAAAAGGAGGAAAAAATAATTTCTGGAGGAGAAAGTATTGATTTCTTTGAGTCCTCCTACCTCAAATTCATCCTGTGTTTGATGTAGTTTTGGGGTTTTTGGAAGTATCTCTGTGGGCTTGTGGTTTCTCTTGTGCACTAAATTTATCCTTGAAGAATAAATGCTGTAAAGGAGAATTCACCTGAAAAAATGGATTTGAAACCCTCTGTTATCTACCTCATCTCCTTAAAAAAAACCTTTCCAGTCTCAAAACTTTCACAGCATCTGTGGGTTTTTAATGAGAGGAGTGGGGTTTTACTTTGATATTTGAGCTATAAATAACATATTCACCTACTTCCCCACCTCTTTTGGAGTTTTAATGTGCCATTTGCTGAGTGCCTGTGTGCCATTCCCAACCCAGCTTGCCAAAAACACCAAGGCAGATGCCGTGGTCAAGGATCTCTACGTGGAGAATGCGCAGCTGCTGAAGGCTCTGGAGGTGACAGAGCAGAGGCAGAAAACTGCAGAGAGGAAAAATTATTTATTGGAAGAGAAAATTGCCAACCTCAACAGGATAGTGAAGAACTTGGCCTCCCCCTCCTTCAGCCCAGCACCAGAGATCAGGTCATAGCAGAAGCTGCTGTGTGTCACAGCCCCGTGCACTTTACTGAAATGGGAATATTTCAGCTTCTCACTGCGTTGCCTTTTTTTTTTTTTTTTTTTTTACTGAATGAGTTTTAGTTACAAATGCCTCCCCAGAGAGCACAGAGCTGATTCCCAAAATGGACACTACCAAAGGAGAATTTTGTTGGTTGCTAAACCGAGTTTCTGCTAAGTTTTGCCTAAAAATAATCATCACTATGTAAGAAAAAAAACCCCAAACTTATGTTTATAGGTTAACTCAGTTTGGCTTTTATTTAAAATCCAAATTCTGAGTTTCCTGTACTGGATCATCTAGATTGGAGCTAAGGCCTAAAGGAAACTCATGTTGAACTGAAAACAATATATTCAGCTTTCATGCTCCAAACCTAGAAATGCTGAGGGATCAGTCTTCAACACTGAGAGTAGAAATGTTATTGAAGGCAAGACTTTGCTGGTATGGTCTGTGTCCTGTAAACTGATTCTGGTTTCTCTAAAGCAATTATTCATTAGGCTTCTGGGTTGTTCTTCATGGCTGTTTCTCTGCAGAGCTCAGGAAAAAAAAAAAACAAACAAACTGTTTATTTAAAATATAGAACTAGACTACTGCCTCCAAGTAAGTGTGACAGTATTTCATCTGAAGAAATTTCCCAGCTAGCAGATAAAGACTATTATTTCCGTTTTTGTTTTAAAGCTGTGCTGCCACACAAATCTGAACTGTAGAGGCCTTACTGGTTTCGTATATGGAAATAAGTTAAACCAAGGAAGAGTCACTCAACAGAAGCAAAGATGGGAGTTTTGTTTATGTGATTTGTAAATTCAGTAAAGCAGTGCAGTGTATTTATTGAACAGCTGGCAGAAGAATGAAGAGAGGGGCACTTGGATGATTTTGTCAGTGGGATCCTGTTGTTGGAACCCTCATGAACATGGAGCTTTGCCAGGAATGCAGCGTTTGTTCTGACCTGAGGAATCATTTGGAAAAGTCTTGTCTTTTGTGTTAATCCTAGTGCAGAATCTAAGCCTGTCATTAGTTGTGGAGAAGCACATTCAGTGTCATTATGAAGAACTCAGGGAGTAACAGCCTAAATCAGCTTCCTTCAGCTATAAATGTGGGTATTAAAGTCAGCAGAAGGAGATAAACACACCTTAGGGAAAGCAGGATAAACCCAGTTGGATTTGGGTGAGTATTTCCTTGGTGCTCCTCACCCAAGTTGCAGAGCAGCATCAAGGTTTGGGATGAGGGTGGTACCTCCTCCTGGGTCAGGAGAGAAATGCAAATTTTTGGGAACACCTTCAAGACAGAGGGGTTTGCCAGAGAAGCAGCTGGATGAGAGCCTGCCTGCTCAAGGGTGTGTGTGTGTGTTAACCTGCCCTGCCTCCCCCAGAGCAGCCAGGCACAAAAATTCTGGAATACTTGAAACTAGACCTCTTAAAATGCAAGAGATTGGGAGGGGGAGGAAGAGGTGTTTTGTCTCAGAGAACACTGGCAAGCTCATCATTCTGTCAGGAGCCAAAAGTCCTCCAGAAACTGGGGTAACACAGCCTGCAAGCTGTGGAGGAGCCTCTGGAAAATGAATTTTACTGTGTACTGATGTGGCTGAGAGGGTGTTCCCTGTGTCTCTGGGGGTACTTACCAATTTTAGAGGACTGGACTAGGCACAGGAAGTGAACTTTTCCTCCTCCTTTTCCTCCTCCTTTTCCTCCTCCTTTTCCTCCTCCTTTTCCTCCTCCTTTTCCTCCTCCTTTTCCTCCTCCTTTTCCTCCTCCTTTTCCTCCTCCTTTTCCTCCTCCTTTTCCTCCTCCTCTTCCTCCTCCTTTTCCTCCTCCTGCTCATCCTTTTCCTCCTCCTTTTCCTCCTCCTTTTCCTCCTCCTTTTCCTCCTCCTTTTCCTCCTCCTTTTCCTCCTCCTTTTCCTCCTCCTTTTCCTCCTCCTTTTCCCTCTCTATTGCTTTGTGCAGGCAACAAAGTGGAAATGGAAATGGAATCATGGAAGAACATCATGTTGGAGTCCTGATAAATTATTTCACTGCTGTGCTCTTCTAAATGCATGTAGTGGAGATTTCTCCAAGTCATCCCAAATTCAAGGAATTTACAGATTTTTTCAGAGGCTGCAAAAATATTTTCACAAACTGGAAATGTCTGAAATTGATAGAAATCTGAGCGTTTAAAAAGCTGAAGTAGTGATTTCTTGGTCTCTTTTCTCACCAAGTGGTCTGAGTTACATGATAATAAATCTCTGTGTGGGTACCAGGGCTGTGTGTTGGGAATTTGAGCACACCCTAAACCCATGCTCTGGAAATTAGCAAAGTTCCAAAATATTTCCAGGAAACAAAATATATGAGGTTCGGAACTGTATTTGGAAAAAAAATACTATTATCTAGTACATTTTAAGACTACTTCATACCTTGACCTTGATTTAATTGTGTCTGTGACCAAAGTCTAAAAGGAAGGAATGAAAATTTCACTTAAATTATTGTGCAGTTACTTTCATGTTGCTCACTTTAAAGACTGGACTACTTAAGTAATTCTTTGAATCTCCTGGTAGTTACCAGGCTTTAAACCAAACATAGACATTGCTAGAGCACAGCACCAAAATGGGAGAAGCAGAAATAGGGAAAAGGGACTTTTGGCTTTTCCCTTTCTCTCCTATCCTACTTTGCTGTACTCCTCTTTCACTAAACTTCAAAAAAAAAAAAAACAAAACCTCAACTTAACTACAGGAGAGAGGAGGAGGAGGAAAACATCCTGTTGGTAAATACCTTGAGGCAAAACTGCAATTTCAGTGGAAGATTTGTGTGGATTCATTCTCAGAAGTGCCTTTTGCCTCCCTGTGTTGTACAGGACAATTCAGGACAATCCCTTCCCAAAAGGAAGGATCAGAGAAAGGCAGAGCTGCTTCCAGATGGGTGGCACGTTGCTCCTGAATTCTTTGTGTCAGCTCAGAAGAGAAGCAGCTATTTTACAAAGTCCAGGCTACTGAAAATAAGCATAAGAAACACATAATTTATTAAGCATTTAGGGGTGTTTTGTGCATGAATGTGTCTCCTATGCAGAATAGGCAAAAACCAAAGTATTTAATGTTTTTTTTGCAGTCAAAAATCACTGAACTTTTAGGCCTTGTTCCTACAACAGGTCCTGCCATGTCAGATATGAACTACTTAATTACCACAAAGTATTTTAAATGTTTTCAGCTCTTACTTTATGAATCACTGTGAAAATAAAGGCACATGGACATTTCAGGTTGGGGGTTTTGGAAGGGGACAGACCCCAAGTTAAATAGAGGTGTACAAAATTCACGCAGTTGAAGTGCTGCTTGTCAATTTAGAATGATTTAAAAGTCTACATGGTGGCTCCAAGTAGTACTTTAAATAAAAGGAAAAATTGAGTTGCTTGAATTCTGGTTGAGGAAAGAAACAGGATTTTAACATTTTTGATTTTAGCCAGGTATGTGTTAGGTACAGCAGGGGGAAACAGTCTGGATTGATCAAGACTAAAATCCTTTTGTTTACTTCCAGCACATGCCATCCCTGTCACTCAGGTTTTCCATCATTTACCTGTCCAATCTCCTGTTTGGTGTCATTTCATGACAAACAACTTCTGTATAAAGGAAAACAAATGTATATTTTTTTTTTTCTACTGAGTTTGTTTTGTTCTGGTGTAATATATTGTCCTTAGAACATCATGTAAAGCTGAGAGAGGAAGCAACTGACACATTATTTATAATGAGCATAAAAAATACATTAATGTACGATGCATACTTGTGTCTTTTTGGTTTTTTATCCAGCATGAAAATAATAGAATAATTTGGGTTGGGAGGGATCTAAAGCCCATCCATTCCCACCCCTGCCATGGCAGGGACACCTTCCACTATCCCAAGGTTGTTCCAAGCTCTGTCCAAGCTGGCCTTGGACACTTCCAGGGATCCAGGGGCAGGCACCACCTCTATTCCCATGGATGTTGTAAACACATCAAATAGTATCTGCAAGTTTATCAAAGGCATGCACAATAATAAAAAGGATGGCTTGACAGCTGTGAAAAAGTAGGTTTTGCATTACAAAATTATGAAATTGAAGTGTAAAAAGCTGACAGGTAGTGAACACACCTTGGCTTATGTTCAGCTGAAGTTGCATCCCTACTCTTCGCCTTTATATGGGAAGTACTGAGGGCTTGTTGTAAGATTTTCAGAGTCCTGGGGTGGGAAAGGCAGGAGGGGACCACCGTGGGTCCCTGCTCCTGGTCAGGCAGGGGTACAGAACTGTGCCCAGCTCTGGGCCCCTCATGACAAGAAACACCGAGGGGCTGGAGTGTGTCTGGGGAAGGGAACAGAGCTGGGAAGGGGCTGGGGAATTCCTGAGGGAGCTGGGAAGGGGCTGGAGAGTTCCTGAGGGAGATGGGAAGGGGCTGGAGAGTTCCTGAGGGAGCTGGGAAGGGGCTGGAGAGTTCCTGAGGGAGATGGGAAGGGGCTGGAGAGTTCCTGAGGGAGCTGGGAAGGGGATGGAGAGTTCCTGAGGGAGCTGGGAAGGGGCTGGAGAGTTCCCGAGGGAGATGGGAAGGGGCTGGAGAGTTCCTGAGGGAGCTGGGAAGGGGCTGGAGAGTTCCTGAGGGAGATGGGAAGGGGCTGGAGAGTTCCTGAGGGAGCTGGGAAGGGGCTGGAGAGTTCCTGAGGGAGCTGGGAAGGGGCTGAGCCTGGAGCAAAGGAGGCTCAGGGGGACCTTGTGGCTCTGCACAGCTCCTGCCAGGAGGGGACAGCCGGGGGGTCGGGCTCTGCTCCCATGGGACAGGGACAGGAGAAATGGCCTCAAGCTGTGCTAGGGGAGGTTTAAATGGGATACCAGAGAAAATTTCTCCACAGAAAGCGTTGTCAGGTAGTGGAAGAGGCGGCCCGGAGTGCCCATCCCTGGAGGTGCCCAGGGAAGGCCGGGATGTGGCACTGAGTGCTCTGGGCTGGGGACAAGGTGGGCACCGGGCACGGCTTTGGACTCGCTGATCTCGGAGAGCTTTTCCAACCTCAGTGATTCAGTGATTCTGCCACGGTGGGGTTCTGTCACTCTGTCATTCTGGGGTTTGTCATTCCAGGGTTTGTCATTCCAGGGGTTCTGTCATTCCGGGATTTCTGTCATTCCAGGATTTCGGTCACTCCGGGATTTATTTCATTTTGGGGTTTCTGTCATTGAGGGGTTTCTGTCATTCTGGGGTTTCTGTCATTCCGAGGTTTCTGTCATTCTGGGGTTTCTGTCGCTCCAGGGTTTCAGTCATTATTCCAGGATTTCTGTCATTCCAGGATTTCTCTTAATCCGGGATTTCTGTCATTCTGGGATTTCTCTCACTCCGGGATTTCTCTCATCCCAGGGTTTCAGTCATTATTCCAGGATTTCTGTCATTCCGGGATTTCTCTCACTCCGGGATTTTTGTCATTATTCCAGGATTTCTCTCACTCCGGGATTTCTCTCACTCCGGGATTTCTGTCATTATTCCAGGATTTCTCTCACTCCGGGATTTCTCTCATCCTGGGGTTTCAGTCATTATTCCAGGATTTCTGTCATTCCGGGATTTCTC